TTCTTACCCTATATATACCTTATTAGTCTTAATAATAATAGTAATAGTAATAATAATAATAATAATAATAATAATAATAATATAAATAGACTAATTCCTAATTAATTCTTAAAGTAATTACTAATTAATTTACTAGTAAACTATTAACCTAACTCTATTTATTATAGCTACTTACTATAATAAGATAAACCCTTTAGTATATAACTAATTCTAAACTAATTCCTAATTACCTACTAATCTATTTAATAGGCCTTTACTACTCCTTACCCCTCCCCCCTTTATTATAAGGTAAGAGTAATATATTAGAATATTAATCCCTTCTTAACTAATTTATAATTAATTCTTTATCCTACTTTAACTAGATAAGAACCTAAGCTAGGTATATATATACTAAAATACTAGGCTTTTATTAATAGCTAGCCTATACCTTAGTTACTATAAGATTAACTATAATATAAATTAATTCCTTATTTATTTCTAATTAATTACTAATTAATTATAACTTACCTTAATTAGTAATACTACCCTTACTACTATATTTAGGCTATTTATAATAATAATATTATAGCTATTTAAGAATTAGTTATAAACTAGTTTTTAATTAATTAAAATATAATTAGTTAAGAATTAATTCTTATTTAATATAAAGAATTAATTTAAAAGTAGTTTATAAGTAAAAAAAGTATTAATTAAATAAAGTAAATAAATTAAGAATAAATTCCCTTTTAAATTAATTATAAAGTAATTCCTACTATAATATAATTAATTATAAAGTAATTTCTAATATAATATAATTAATTATAAAGTAATTCCTACTATAGTATAATTAATTATAAAGTAATTTTTAATATAATATATTTATATAATTAATTATAAAGTAATTCCTACTAAATATAATTAATTATAAATTAATTTCTAGTATAGTATATTTATATAATTAATTATAAAGTAATTCTTACTATAGTATAATTAATTATAAACTAGTTATTTTAATATAAATATAGAATATTATTATACTAAGATATATAGTATATATATTAAGAATTAGTAGGGCTACCTTACCTAAGGGTTGCTACCCTTAGCTAAACTCACTAAGGTACCCTTAGGTGAGGTGTATCCACTATCGCAGGCCACATCACTATAGAATCTCATTTTTAACATGCCAACCATAAAAACTACGACAGCCGTGGGAATCTTAACCGAAAACGGCAGCGGCGGCTTCATCTCAGACCTCACCTTTAATAGCGGCAATATTAGTTAGCGCGCAGGCTCACAACAGTACACTACCCACAGCCTAACATTCAACAAGTACAACACAGCCGTACAGATGGTGTGGGACTGGGGCTAGAACTGGCAGGACATTACAGTCAAGGGCGGCTCCATCGCGTTCAACATCTCTAGTTCCGGTGGCCTGACAGGCCAGGGCATTAAAAGCGTGTCCATCATCGACTCAGAAATAACCAACGTCGAGGTCAGCGTCCTAACCAACAGCGCGGCGACGGCGCCGAACATTATCCTCAACAACACCAAGTTTACCAGCGTCAGCACAGCGGTCAAGTCAAGCGATAGAAGCACCCTTCTCTCTAGCGGCACCCATCTCTAGGCCACAGGCAAACAGTACAACGGCGACAAGGGCTCGACTAAGACAGGCAACGTCAAGGCGCCCGCGCGCAGCAAGGGCCTTAATAATGAAAACGGCAAGCTCTACGTGCGCTCTCGTCCACAGTACAAGAAGAAGTCCACAGGTGACTTCCTAATTACGACAACAGATAGCAGGTGCAAGAATAACGCCAGCGGCAATCAGGCCGGGTGCCTCAACCGCTTCCTAAGCCGTGCAGTAGAGGGTGGAAAGATTGCCTACTTCCCCGCCAACGTCTATACAGTCGGCTCGACAGTCTACATCCCAGTCGGCTCAGTTATACAGGGCTCGTCCTAGTCCTAGATTCAGGGATCGGGCTTCTTTTTTAGCGACATTACAAAGCCCAAGGTCATAGTACAGGTAGGTAAAAAGGGCGATGTTAGCACCATAGAAATTACCAAGATACTCTTCTCCATACGCGGCGCAACGGCAGGCGCCATTCTCATAGAGTAGAATGTTCACGCCAAGTCGCAAGGCGCGGCCGCCATATAGGATTCCCACTTCCACATCGGCGGCGCTCTCGGCACCGACCTTAACATAGCCACGTGCCCGCGCTTCAGCAACAAAGCCGCGTGCGTTGCCGCATCTTTACTCTTCCACGTCACGCCGCAGGCCAATAGCTACTTTAAGAATGTCTAGGCCTAGGTTAGTAATCACGACAACGACCAGAGCATCGTCAACCAGCCCAACTCGTCCATCACACAAATCTCCATATTTGCCGCGCGCAGCACGCTCATTGAGTCAAAAGGTCCGTCGTAGTTCTACAGTGGCGGCTCAGAGCACGCTATCCTGTACAATTACCTGATCAGTGGCGCCACGAGCGTCTACAGGCCACATCCAGACCGAGGCGCCATACTACCAGCTAAACCCCAGGCCCCCTAATCCCTTCCACGCCGGCGCCCACTTCCCTAACAATCCCGACTTTAGCGGCTACGAAGTTGCCGCCGTCTAGGATAATTGTTGCCATTATGCCTAGGGCCTGCTCGTAATTGACTCGACTGATGTCATGGTACACTCGGCTGGTCTCTACAGCTTCTTCAATGAGTACTACCAAGACTGTATTGATACGCAAAACTGCCAAGCGCATCCTTAAGGTCAAGGGCTCAACCGGCGTCGTCATCTTTAATCTGTTTACCGTCGCCACGGTCAATATTGCGAGCGGCATCGACGGCACCAACGTCCCACAGAAGGATAACCAGCGCGGCTTCACTACCGAGGTCAGCGTCTGGCTGCCGCTCCCCGGCTCGGACACGGTCGACATCATCTGGGTTGATACCAAAGTGTAGGATACCAAAACGGTCACTTGCTTGGCTCCATCCTGCATGTTCATTATTCCAATAAAGGGACTGGGATTGAAAACAACCATTCGCCCTAGCAACTACACGACCTCGTTCGAGTATGGCGGTATTATGCCGACCAGCGTTAACGGCTCCACAAGAACCATTTTTGTCATATCCACCACTACTATCGTCATCAAGATCCCGCCCATCGTCACGGATGGAATCGGCTACTCTAACGTCAACGTGTCGTTAGGCGCCACGCTAATTGTTATCTATACTAGTGTTCTAGTTAAGCCCGTTAGCCTAACCCTACTAGATGGCAGCGGTGGCTCCACTATTCGGACAGTACCGCTACCTCCGTGGCCACAGATCAACAGCGGTCACACAGTCCTATATACCGACCTAGCCACCAAGCCGCCTCCTTCCAGGGGAGTCAGACCTGGCTTAAGCACTACCTACTACACGCCGATCAAAACTGTCATCACTATTTCCAACGCCATGGTTATAACAGTGACATTCCTAGGGTTAAAAGGAGTTACTACCATTACCTATCCCGCTAAGACATCCATTACATTTACCACGCCAGCTATGGTCGTCGCCATAACCTATAAAGGCTCATTAACTCTCACACTTAACTTTACCTACCTAACTACCTAGGTACTTACCTTCCTAAGGCCAGCAACGGCTAAAGCTACCGTCAACTGCTCTCTTATTACGTTATAGAGGACAGGGACTAGCGCAGCGCCACTACCAGTCTACACATACTAGCCAGGGATTGTCCAGATTATTCCTAAGGGTAAGGAGCAGGAGAAGCCTAAGCCTAACAACAACGGCGTACACATACCATACAAGATGTGGTTCTTTTACCTCTATATTGGGTAGGCTAATATTCGCTCCTAGTACTTTATCTTGCCGCCTGGCATCTACAGTCCCAGTCTACCGCCAATCCATCACATTAAACTTCCACCTAGTATCACCATTAAAGGCGACCTACCTCCCTAGCCACACATCACTATTAGCCCAGACCACCAGATTACAACAGAAGAAAAGCCTAAGTATAAAAGCAAGACAGCCTTAGCCTACACCTACACCACGTATATTTCAGCCAGCACGACAACCTCGTCGACTAAGTCGTACAAGACGGTTACAGGCTGCTCTCTCAGCCTATCTAACTCGTCCATAGAGATTTTTAGCACGTAGACGCCCGCTCCGGTTGCCAACTAGTTTAAGGAGAGCTGGCTAAAGGCGCCCCTAGACCAGGCCTACAGCCAACAGGTCTTTAAAGAGCTAGAAGCACGTCTTAGCCGCAAGTAAGCCCACGGCTACAGCACTACGCTTAACGTTAAGTCAAGGCCAACGGCAGGCCCTACATACAGCGGCGCAAGCACAGCATACGGCGGCACCATCTATTCCAGCTACTAGTACACCCCAACGCCGCTAGGCCTACTACCGGCGTATCAAGACCCCAAGGACCCTAACTCAGGCGGCTATAGTACACTAACTAGAACCAGTAGTATAAGCATGAGCGACTTACCGACTACATCGCCTACAACACCACTAGAGCACGGCCCCATAAAGTGCTTCAAAGAGAGCGACTTCCCTAGCCACACAGACCTCAACTTAAGCTCCTAGTCGGACTTTGCGACCAATTTCAGTGGTCTACGCTCAGGCGATAGCGACCTCATCAGCCCCAGCGACGCTGCCATCTACTACCACGGTAGAGACAAGCACGGCGTCAACTACAACTACAAGTGCAAGTAGGTGGATAGCTACAAAGCCTTAAAGGACAAGATAAGTTTCCAATTTCCACTAGGTTCAACCAGCCTATATAAGAACATTACTACCTACTTACTTATAAGGAAAGACTATACTAAGTATAAGTAGCTTACTACTACAACATACATTCCATATATCTAAGAAAGCTAACTTTTACATCTAGGTAATAACAACGGCGTCGGTAGCGAGTGCTAGGTTAGATATCTACTATATACCTTTAAAGGCAGGCTAGGCAACAACCAACCCTTATAAAAAGTTTAATTACAGAAGTTACAGCTCTATTAAAGACCCACCAGAATATCAGAAATATTATTATATTAGATTTACTATAAAAACTTCTAGCCTAACCTATACTATTACAGACCATAGTGTGCCTCTAGAGTAGGAACAGTCATAAAAGTCAATGTTAATACAGGGAATACAAACCTATATCTAGGACGCGTTTACTACAGAGAAACTTACAATCTGATAGTATTCAGGTTCAAGTGGACTGTCATGCCTATGGATGTAGTGCGTACACGCCCCCTTGTACTTATTTCCTCGCTAAATTCTCACGGGAAAAGTCAACCAACTTAGCAAAGGGTATCAAGTCAATTCGATGGTAAAGATCAACATGGCCTGCACCGTATATCGGTAAAGATCAACATGGCCTGCACCGTATATCCAGAGGAGCTCTTTGGGCTCCGACGCCCGATGGCAGGCATCCTCGCTGATTCTCGTGAATGAGCCTGATGGCCGGCGATGAAGACGACGAACTCTGTCATGACCTCATGGCATTTTGGGACACGAGAAATTCGGGTTGCGAGGCAGGTTGGTGGGGAGTCCCCTCGGCTACCTGGCATAAATTATTATAATTTGTCAAGGCTGGATAATTATGCGACGACAACAGAAGCGCTACGAACGAGACTTGGCGACCTCAAACTCCAGATGATTCTCCATTCTCAAAAAAAAAATTCCCGTTTATTATTCTTTATTCAGCAATAGTAAAATTTAATAATTTGACCAATTTTCGTTTCTCTAATATTCTTTTGTAACTCTAAAATGTAGGGACTTGATAAGGAGGATATAGCTTTTCTTTGCCATTGACACGGCGAAGATCAATTTCGTCTAGAATATCTTCAATGCCTACAAAGGTCCGTATCTAGGAGAGGTCAAAACAGTTGCCAAAAAAATCCCGAAGCTCTGGTCGAGCATGTTCACTTACATTGACTGCATTGACAGTGCGCTCAACCTCGTGCTCAGCCTCGCTGAAGTCGATCATAATACTTGTGCCGCACTTGGGGCAAAACTTGTGTGGTTTTTTGGCATTCCCAAAACGGTACATTGTCAAATCAGCTTCTCCGCAAAGGAATTTCAAGTCTGCCACCTTGGGGTATGCTAGAAGATCGCCATTCTTGGTGCAGATGGAGCAATTGCAAGAATTGATCTTGCCGCTGCGGAGATCAGGCAGCGCGGCTGTGAACTTGACGAGGCCGCAGTGGCAGTTGCCGAAATAAGTTGTGAGATGCGGTGTGTCAAGCATTTTCATGACGGCAGGGCTGGGAAAAATTAAGGCTCTGGGATTGACTGGTATAAGCCGTTTTATACCTACAAGCCCGGCTATGACACGTGACTAAAAATTTGAGATTGGTGATTAAAACGGTTGTTTATCCTTTGTAGTCGCTAGATTGTAGTCCCCGCGAAAGACAATAGACCCGCAACATTTAAACACAGCGTGGGTTATCGTACTTGCCAAGCACGGATAGCGATCCCACTACGGTCGCATATTAGCTAAATAAGCCCTTACTATACCCTATATATTATACTAAAATACCTTATTTAAAACTACTGCAACCTCGAGTCAACTGACCGGGTCAAAGTACCGACCGACAGGACAAGACGGCAACGCAACGCCATCCTCGATCGCTTGATCCTTAATCCCTTAGTCCTTAATCCCTCATCTCTCATCCCTTGGTCCTCTGTCGTCTGGGCCGTGTCAGACGTCACCCTCATTGTGTCTATTGTGCGTTAGCGTTATTAAGTTAGTGTCCGTGCCATCATGTGCGCAGGCTTGCTGGTGCTGCATGGCAAGCATCAAGCTGAAGCTGAGATCAAACGCCAAAGCCCTGCTTCTGGTAGAGCGCCAAATCCCCCGCAAACAACGACTTGCAGGGTGTTTCCAGATGAGGGTCACCCATAGAGTCTTACCCAGACCTCCATGCCCTACCTTCCTACCCTGGAGAGACGAGTACGTATCCAGCTTTTCAACCTTGGCAGACAAGACTGATGATGAAATAAACTAATACAACCAGAGATGGATTTATATTTGCCCTCTCTTGGTTACTTGCGAAAGTTGAATTTTTTCTTCTTTCATTTTTACAAAGAGGAGCATCATTTCATTCACCACCTCATCTGAAAAAACTTGTCTTGGGACTTGGGAACGCTCCAAGATCAACCCTGATCAATTGCTAACCTGGGATTATCTGATTCTTGCGGCACTCTAGTTGGATCTAAAAAAGGCCTGGAGACTGCGATCAAGAGAGCAAAAGAGCGAGACAAAAAAAAACTGTGTTTTGCCCGAGGCAGTCCATAGTTGGCGTCCACTCGAAGCAGACAGACGGGCATGTCCTCGGCGCCACCATTCACCATTCACCATCCCAGCCTGTCCCGCCCCAAGAGCTTGCCCCGAGCCGCGTACCGCCCTTCCTTATTAGTTCCTTCTGCCGCACTTCAGTTCGAAGACCTTGACGGAGCAGTTTTGCTGCCCCTCGTACTTCTTGCTGCAATCGCAGGACGTCTTGTCACCGCAGATGGCACCATACTGCGCCTCGCTGCAGTCTTTCTGCACGCATATGAAGTCGCCGTCCCGACCCTTGTTCTCATAGTCGGGCTTGCACTTCTCCTCCGAGTAGAAGTCGGGGAACTGCTCCTGGCCCGACCAGAACCGAGTGCAGTCACACTGGTCCAGCTTCGCGGGCGTGGCCGGCGTGGCCGGCCTGGGCTTGGGCTTGTGGTTGGGGTTGCACATGGCCTCGTAGTTCTCCCGGGCGCAGCCGGCCTGCGCGCATTCCTTCTCGTTGGACACGTGCCACGCGACGGCGTCCTTGCTGGTGTCCACACGCCCCTCGGAGCAGCCGCCGAAACCGTCCATGAGGAAGGGGGTGCTGCAGTCGCAGGCCTTCTGAGCGCCGCACTGGGCGTCGAACGCCTGCGAGGTGCAGTGCAGCATGTCCTTGAAAAAGCGGTGGCAGCGGCACTCGGTCATTGCCGGCGTGGAGGGCTGGCCAGCCGCGGCCGTTGCGGTCGCGGCCGCCGCGGGGGTAGAGGTAGAGCTCGGGGCTGCTGCGTGCTCGGCGCCGGCGCGGATGGCGGGGCCGGCCGATCATAGCGCCGCGGCGGCGAGGAAGAGAAGAGTGGTCGTCGTCTTCATTTTAGAGAAAGGAATGTGGTCGAGTAACGAGAGACAGTGGGGTTTTCCGAGTGATGCGGTTGAGAAGCAATAAACAGAAAAGAATGTTCTCTAATGGGCTTTGACAGCCTATATATACATATATACATCTAAACCCGACCCGCCCGGGCAGGCGGTTTGACTCGCTACAGAGCTCAACTCATCGCGCATCAATCTCACAGCCACCGTCCCTCCTAATGCTGCCAAGTCATGACAATAACTCGTAATGACGCTTATACCCGACCTCTTGTTAATTATGCCCTAATCTTGAGTTTTCTTATTTACAGGCGAGTAACTTAGTTGTTAATTATGCCCTGATCTTGAGTTTTCCTGTTTATAGGCGAGTGACTTAGAAAGGTACAAGTTGTTAGCGTTTATAGTAGTTAGTAACTAGAGAGGCCCGAAATTTACAGGACGAATTTTGGAATTTACAGGACACCATACTAAAGACCATGTACCCTCTAACAAATTCTCCCCTCCACACCCTCCTCTTCAACCCGCATCTCATAGTTAGAGGCATTTACAGGCAACGCATAAGAGGCGCGTTAATACGGCACTTAGAGGTACTCTCAGAGGCACTCTCAAAGGCACTTTTAGAGCCCCCAGAGCGCCAGCAAAAGCGCCCTCGAAAGTACACCATGTGTATTTGCATACGCTTGGTGGTAGTCTTTCTGTTAGGACTTATAGAGAGGTATACTTCTACCTGGCTCTCCAAGTTCTGATTGGCCTGTGGCGCCCACTAAATACTGTCATAGGGACTAAGTTGTCCTGTAAATTTCATTTGTCCTGCAAATTTCGGGCATCGTAATCACGGGCGAGCCGTCCCAGTCCAGGCACACATGAAGAAAGCTGCTTTCATCAACCAGCATTCAAGGGAAGCCCGCATTGATCGACGTCATGTCCCTTCCGACGAATTGACCATCTGTCATCTCTCACCTGATTCAAGCTCCCATTCACAACAGCCCTTGGGATCGAGCGGTCAGCTCGCAATCGCTCTGTAAAATGTGGCAGTCCGACCCTTACGACCACAGAAGGGCTGTCTGGTCGACCGCCGTCGCCGCACTTGCTTCGTGGACGGCATCCAAGATCGGCACAGGCTCTTCTCAAATCCCGTCTGATATAGTCTGTTGGTCCATTCTCCCATGTCTGCTTCGATGGCGCCGCTCTGCGCCCAACCTCTTACCACTCGGCGGCCATCCTCCACTGGTCGGCGACAGCACGCGCAACATTGGTTTGATCGCTTGCGTATTCGCAGCGGGAATTGCTGTTCAATCCTTCAGCAGAGCCGAGAATCGAGCAGTCGGTCTACTGGTAAGCAGCGTTTATCGCGCTGGCATCTTGACAAGACGAGTCATCTAACCTATGCCTTAAAAAAGCCGTTGCTGAGTACTTTGCTATTCTTACTTGAACAGCGGGTTCATCCTAGGCTTTCCTTTTCTGCCAAACCGTCAGATCCCTCCCGCAATGGCCTCGCCAATACTGCCTGGGGAAATGCTATCATCTCCATGGCTACAATTTACAGCTTATCTCCTGGTTCTGCTCTCGAGCTTTTGCTCTCAGCTGCAGCCTTAATCGGCTCACTTGTTGCTTTCGGCTCCCTCCTGCCCCGCGATGTGGCAAAATCCAGGGCACTATCGCCGCTTGATTTGGAGCTCGATATCTCTTCAATTGCGCCACGTGTACTTGTAGCTCTTTTTGTCGCGTTGGGGATTCAATCCGCCTTCCTTGGACTTGTACCATGCAAAATTTCTGCTGCTGTCTTGGAGGGTGCTGCAAAGGCCGTCTTCTGGTACTCTTCACTGCGTGCTGTGAGTCTAGAGAGGAAACCAATCCCAATCGTGTGCTGACATATCATAGAGAAAGTCCATGTCGTGGATGATCGTCCCCTCTATACAGAATTTCAGCTTGTTTGCTCGTCGCAATCCGTTTCGGGAAACATTCGGAAGCAAAAACGTGCTTCATCTGCTGGGGGCGCTTCTGACTGTGTTTCACTTGACACAGTATGCACCTCGAGGAGGCCGCAGTACATCATTACTTTGGCTGCTATTTGCATTGCCTTTGGTACCGTTTACTGCCAATGAGATAGCCATATACAACGGGCAGTCCCTCATCCCCAAGTACGGTCCGGCAATGCCGCATCCCGCTGGTCAACTTGTTGAACGTTCGATCTCCGAGTTCAATAGTATGCTTAAACGGCAATCAAGTTCTCTACTTGAAGCCGAAGCAGAATATCGACGCAGATACGGTATGGAGCCTCCGCCCGGCTTCAAGCACTGGTACGAGTTCGCCGCCGCACATGACTCGCCACTCATTGATGAATTTGACTCTATTGTTCACTCTGTGTCTCCACTATGGAAACGAAGTCCCGCGCAAATTAAAAAGGCAATGAGTGAGGTACTGAAGCATGAAGATGCTGAAATCTGGCACTGCAAGATTTCCGGCCGAGACCGGCAAGTAAGATGCACTCATCCTTATCGAAGTTTTGACCGCCACACGTCGTTGCTGGTTCAAAACCTCCTTGCAAATGTAGACAGAGAAATTCCCGACGTGGAACTCCTCGTCAATCATCTTGATGAGCCAAGATCCTTATTCTCCCCTGGCACTGTTGAGGACGACCCGCTAGCCTTGCGCTCCATGTCGCATGTTTCGACCTGGGACAATATCACCAGATTCTGCCCGGTTGCCGCCGTGACCTCGAGCGAACCAAAACATGGTATACCATTTGTGAATAATGTCACGAGCATGATGGATCTCTGCCAGCATCCAGAGTATCGGGAGATGCATGGCTTGTTTCAGAGCCCAACGTCGTTTCGCCTGATAGAAGGCTTTGCACCGATTTTGTCGACGGGCTCGCCATCTACAATGCACGACATTCTATACCCGAGCGCCGCCTACATCGAGTCCGAGTTCAAGTATACTGGCTCTCATGACATTCCGTGGGATCAAAAGAGCAACAAGCTCTATTGGGCAGGGTCAACATCTGGAGCGTTCTCCGCTGAGGGCCGATGGAATCAGTATCACCGTCAAAGATTCGTGGAATTTGCACAGAACCAGAAAAGAACAGAGCATTTCTACCTCAAAAATGCCCATGGCCAGCTGAAGCGGAGGGTATCCCGATATTGGAACAGTCGACTCTATGATGTGGCTTTCACGCGCGTTTTCCAATGTGAAAGCCAGGACTGTCGGGAGCAGCGGTCCTATTTTGACATGAAGTCATGGGCGGACAAGGACGAAGCCATGCGCTTCAAGCTTGCGTTTGACATGGATGGAAACGGTATAAGCGGGCGCTACTACAAGCTATTGGCATCAAACTCGGCGCCACTCAAACAGACCCTGCTGCGGGAGTGGCATGATGACAGGCTAAAACCCTGGGTTCACTATATTCCTGTGAGCCAGGGCATGGAAGAGCTACCGGAGCTGGTGCAATATCTCACGCAAACCGAAGATGGGCGTGAGCATGCAAGGAGAATCGCCGAAAACGGCCAGAAATGGTTCATCCGGGCATTTCGCGAGATTGATATGAGTATATACTTGTACCGGCTGCTACTCGAAATAGCCCGATTGCAAGATGGCAATCGATCAGTCGGCTAATTCTTGAACCACATGCTATAGTTAGCAGCCACGAATTGGAAAGCATGTACGTCATTTCCTCAGACGTCCTGAAATGCAACGCATTCTGTGCCGGCGACTACGCAGTCGACTACCCCGCGTTTGCTCATCAGCAGACCAAGCACGTAAGATGCTGCATATAGATCGAAGGGGCGCGTTGGGAGAAGGTGGATAGGGCTGCTTCCAGTATTCATGACGGTGGTTGAACTATTCCGTAAAAGAGTGACTCCATTTGAACTGTATGACTGTATGCCCACAGCGTCCTGGTTGGCTGGGAGCCACTTCTACAAAGCCGTGGTGTGGCTGGGGCCGGAATGGGCAAAGCACCAGCCACAGAAAGCCACGAGGTAGATCCAACGTGGGGATGCAGCCGCCTTCTGGGTGGGGGGATGGTGAGCTGTGGCTAGTGGTGCCCCTCTATCGTAATCGTGGAGAAGCGCTGTGGCTTGTGCGTGGAACAAGGAGGGCTGTGGCTTGAAGCTATGACGCCATGTCTGGCTGGTACTTGGGCTCGCTACGGGGTTTACTGCAGAAGTCGACAGCCTGCCTGATAAAAATGGCCTAAAAATACAGAGGTCGACGTTCAAAATAACTGCGGGCTGCGAACCCTAGCAGAACAGATTCAACAAGGAGTCCGCAGGCAGGTACATACGGGTACAATAAACGCTCTAGATATCTCAGATGACGGCGTCTCCGCAAGAGCCCTGGGGGGATTGAGGCAAGTCAATCCTCACTAGTTATACTTCTCTCACTGTGATGAGAAGTATCTTGCTGTATCCTCTGGGTACTCCGGCACCCAGAACCAGATTCTAGGTTCGTAGCGCGGACTCTATTTTGAAGGCACCTCCGTACATGCAACAGTGTGGCGCTAAGCTTTCGGGCGCACCCATCTCGTGACGGGGTTGGGCATACTTTAGTACACTGTGTAGGTATACAGTATGTCGGAGGATTTACGAGCTGATCTGCTTCGAGGGGACAGGATAAGCGGATGTCGCGAGAAGCATAAAAAATTCCCAACTTGACGCATTCCAAATTCAGAGACGCGAACAGGAAGGGGAAGAGAAACAAGCCAAGAATGTCTGGGGGAGCAGCGCCCACCACACCATCCCCCCCTTTGTACATTTCTTGTGACACGGCGAGTGCACTGTGCGGCTTGTTTGACAATGGCAACACCGAGTGTATTAGACATATGGGCTGTTCCATGCAGGAGCATGTAGACTTTATTTTTGTGACGGAATTCCAAAGGGAAGCATGTGTGTGGACGCGATACCGACCGCAGAAAGCAAGCAAGAAGCTGCAGGGCAGTGGGGGGAGGGGGGAAGCAGGGCGGTTGGTTCTATCTATGAACATGATGGAGGGGTTCAAGGTAAAAGAAGTTCTGATAAGAAAATCGCAACATATGTTACGGATATCGGTGCAAGTATGAGCTGGCCATTTGAGCCCGAGCGCTGCGCTCCATCTCGACAAGAATTTTGTTCCGACAAAACACTACACACATCAAGTGAGAGCTACCGTTTCGTGGCAGCTCCGTACCGGTCAAAAAAAAAAAGTGTTTGAACCAAGCAGCGGCGCCGTTCCAAGCAGCGCGCAAGGGGCAAACCCCTCCGCCCTCCTCTCTGCGATCGCCCTCCCAGGGAACGGCGCGCTACTAAAGAGCGAACAAGGAGGGGATTTGCACTGGTGTGCAGGAATACACCAGGCGATCCCTCGCGAAGAGTAGAATTCGCAGCGTTTTTCTGCAGGTACGCTGGCGAGCCGGATTTGGAAGAGGGCTTTGCTGGTTCAGCCTTGTTGTGCCCAGCTTCGTGCGCCCCCAAAAAGCCGGCTCGCCACAAGTTGGTCAGCGTGTGGAAAACAAGGCACCGTTGGAGCAATTTTGCCGATGAGGACAGATTTTGAAGACGCCAAGGCAGAAAGGGCCGGCTCTGGCACAGATGTTGAGTATTACAATAGTCATCACAATACTATTCTTCGCAAAATGACTCGGGACTTGGTCGAGGAAAGACTGCACTGTGCTTAGTACTTGAGAGACTGTGAGAGGTGGTGAGAAAGGTCAGTGAGCCGCCCTGGTGTCGGCAAGCGGTCCTGGAGGGCGGAGGCAGGGCGCATCACTCAACCGAGTCGTTGCTTTTTTGGGCCCTCCTTGGTTGGCTTGGCATGCAATGGAAGAAGGGCCCAGGAATCCATGATAATGACATTCTGACGGTTGTTGGCCGTCGCGACCGGTTGCTTGCTCTGTGGCTTGTACAGGCTAACAGTGGGCGACATGACGGATACGCCGAGAGTTGACGGGTCATGGCCCAACGAGCAGGAAAATGGACAATCGACCGGTTCATGCGTCCTGACTTGAATGCACATATGATATGTAGTTCCTATTGCCTTGGTTTTTTCAATGGCTTGTCAGTCCAACAATGCCATAAATGCAATGCTCATGAATACATTCTGTGGGCTTATTATACTTGGTACAATGGTGTCGGCGCTAACAAACGGTAGTTAGTCCTCGACTCCAAGGAGTCGAGAGTAATAATAGAACGTGTCTAAAGGCTGAGAGTGTGCTAGGAACAGTTTGACACTTTCGAGCCTACGCCGATACAAACTACAGTGCAGTAGTTTCCTCAGTAGTTTCCGTACTAGTTTAGCGATACCGGCGAAGAATAGACGGGTTACACAGCAGGAAGCCAAGTCAGCGTCGCCAGCGTCGACATTTTCTCGCGTACCTGGTCTTGGCGGCTTCTTATGAACCAACCTACTTAGTGCCAGGGATCTGACACGCCGGCGCAGGACACCGTTCGGCGGCACTTGCACTTGCAAAGGTCAGGCGAAAGCTCAGAGTAGCGTGGCTATATCTACACTGTGTTAACATGTGGGCCAGGGCTCGAGATGCAGACAAAAGTATTGAAAAGAAGAAAAACGGGATAACTGACAGCAGCGAGGATGCGCCTTGGTTGGCTGCGCCAGGCGTTGGGCGAGGCTCCAATCAGAGCACATGGACAGTGCGCTGCATCTTACTCAGTCAAGAGAGAGCAGATGCCCTCGCTGATAGAGTCCTCCTTGGGCGACATGGCAAGACTCCAACTTGGCTAGTGCCGGATCCCCCCCTCTTGGGTCAGGCGGGAACGAGTTGAGTAGGGGCGGTGATGACGATGATTGGCGAGGTCTCGAAAAGAGAGCGAGCTAGGGAAGGCGGGCAAGGGGAGGATTTTCTGGGAACCACCTGATGATGGTTGGATGGACTGCCGTTCGATTGGCGAAGAGGGGAGGACGCTGGTGGCGCGGGGCTGACGAAGAGGAGGGCGGCCAGCGAAAATGTACATATGTGTGACGAAGAAGCGACAATGGCGCCAGGAAGAAGTGGAAAAGACACACTGGGTACAACGAGGAAGATGAAGACTTTTGGTTTATAACAAGAAGAGGCGGTAAGAAGGACGATGATGGTCGGCGGGGAGTGGATTTGGGATAGGCACACTGCATGCACGCAGTTTCCATTGATCCATCTTGGGTGGCGCGCTGCCGGTTGTTGCAACTTGGCTGGGCCATTGTATTTTGGGCATTGTCTCTCTTTTCTCCTCTGCCGTAATAATGGAAGTGAGACCTCTGTCTTTGGCCATGTGCTTTGCGTTCCTCACGTGAAGCGTCTTCGGATGAAGACGGAGAGAACAACGGATGTACCGAGTCGAGATAACGTGATAATACATACTAGACCCCTATCTGGCAAGGCTACATAACGAAGTTGTCCTCGAAAGATGTCAAGGATAGTGACGTGCAGGACCCCGGAAGAGGATCAAAAGGAAGCAAAAAGTCTAATCTCGTTGGTGCTGGGGAGGAAAAAGGAAAAAGAAAACATTATTGTCAAACTGCAACGGAGATTTTGCAAAGCATGGCGAAAAAAGAAACCAGAATTGTTTCCAACAGGGGAAACTGCCGATTTTGCTTCCTTTTTATTTTTTGGCCGTGTGGCTGCAACAACCAACGCCACCGTCACCATCCGCCGCCATTATTAACTGCTAGTTAAGACATTCGAATCATTCTAAAACGGTTCCTTACATATTCGTTATTAGCCAAGGGCAGGTTGAAACAGGGCCAATCGTGGGTTGGCGGTGGTGATGAAGCAATGTCTGCGACGGAATGCTCGATGGAGAGAGCGAGCTGGAACAGAGTCTGCGACAGCGAGAAGCAAGACGGGATGGGTTTCGTTTGGTTAACCTCGAACTTGGGGGATATTCGTGAGCAACCAGTCATGGGCAAAGGAGCTGCCACACAGGTTGGGGCGAGTAACTGCTCGTGTTTTGGTGATGACCCCCTTGTTCTTGTGGTGGGCCAGAGCAAATGTGGGCAAAACGGCCAACGGCAGCATCAGGAACTTGGCAATATCCTGCCGCGCTAGTCCCTGTCGTCAACTACGGATCTTCCCATTTCAATAATTAATTGTTTGATTCTCTTTTTTCAAAAAGACGATCCCCACCAACAGGCTCCCCCCTGCTCTCTGCTCGTTGCGACCAGGGGGGCCTGCGACCCGGTTAAAGAGCCCCGCAGGTACACAGTGCGCCCTGCTCCCATCTTGCACGGTGCGCCGCACCACCCACCGACATACCAGCCGGTGGAGCGCTTGCATGTTCGGCCAGAAATGATATACCAGCCCGCCAACCCCTCGGCCACACCTCTCTTCTCCCAGCCCTTTCGATCTTTGCTCTGGTATTCTTTCTTCCCAAAACAGTTTCTTGCATTCTTTGCAAGTAATAAGGGCCACTCTTCTTTTCTTTTGGCTGGGCCTTTATTCAAACAAGATTTACATTCCTTTCTCTCTCCTCTCGTACTACTACCAATACACGCCCTCCTCCCCCGTTTGCCTCGCTCCTTACCGCTGAGACTACAAACGCAACCTTGGGCGAGCTTGGAAATCAGCTCATTTTTGATTCCCGAGTTTCGATAACCGCGTCGTCTTCAACAGGACAATCAACACAACACACGAGAGCGCACCGCGTGCCTATTTTTTTTCTCGGCGTCTCGCCTGCTATAGCGTCCCGTTTACACCTGGATGTACCCGCATCACCAGGTGTAAAAGGACTCCGTCACACCACGAGACCTCGCCGCGCCTACACCACACTGCAAAATCGACCAAGACTAGCTTCTGTTACCGCCCGGTCAACGCCAACAATGTCTCTCGTCGAGCTGCCATACCCGGCCACCGTCCCCGCCGCCTCCATTCCAGACCACCACACCGCGTCAGAGCTCCCGTCGACTTATAACCCGTCTGCTCGCAGCACACCTCGCTCCAGCTCCCTCTCCCTGTCCATTGAACAAACCACAACCACTACCCTCAGCTCCGTGACTGACGAAGTAACCGACGACATGCTTTCAATACACTCTACCAAGAGCGAGCCCTTCATGTCCGCTGCCGCACCTGCTCTGCCCGCCAAGAGCGCCCTGCGAGCCTCGAGGCTCCTCGCCACCATGCCGCAGAAGCTGCCCGAGGACCGCGCCGTTCTCACGCATGCTGCGCCTCACCTGGTGTACCTGTCGTCTGAAGAGGATGGCTCGTCCTCGGCGGACGACCTTTCAGATCTCGACTCGTTTGACTCGGACAGCGAAGAATCGCTCGACGGCTACTCGACGCACGGCCAGTTTGCCCGCGCCGTCTCCGTCATATTCTCGGGCAAGCCCTCGGTGGTCCATCTCACCGGCCGCAGCGCCTCACTGGGATCACTTCGCCGACCATCCAACGACGCTGCCCTGCGCACCATCTCGACCGCGCCGATGCTTGGCCGCATGCGCTCCACCTCGTCGGCGACATCTTCCACCACCAGCCTCGGCCACCCGCCTCGCTCTAGCAGCATGACGACCAGTCTGGAGATGGAGAGGCGCCGCCCCAAGTTCCTCCACATCGACCCTTTTGCGGCCAGCAAGACGGACAAGGACGAGACGGACAGCATCAAGACACCCAAGACGCCGACGGCCATGCTCTCCCGTGCCTTTAGCAGCCTGGTCAAGAAGCGCAGCCGGCCTACACTGACGCCCGTCATTCACAACGACTTTGTCCACATGGAGCAGGTGGGCGAGGCCCCGGAGGAACTACTGGACGACCGGTCTGTCTCACCCAAGTCAAGACATGCGGGACCCCCCAAATACTACGATGCCATGACGGCCGCCAAGAAGAATGGCCAGCAGACGGTAACGGCACCCGCCACGCCTACATCACCAAGTGGTGCCAGGAACGGCATCCGTGGCTTCTCGTTGAGCAGACGGATGAGCGTTCGCGCATAGGCGATTACCTATGAAGACACTGTATGATAATAGCGTGGCGTCTCTTTTGTATCCATTCATGGCGGTTATTTCTTTGCGGCGCTGGTCGGCAATTTTTCTCTACACTCATTCACTCATTCACTCGAACATGGTTTATTTCGGCGCACAGGGCACACAGGACAGCACGCTGCACGAAGTGCGAGACTTTGGTCAGGAACTTTGGCGTTTTTTAACTTGTTTTTTATTATTTTTTTCTTTTTTCTTTTGACAAGAGTGATAATTGGGAATTGGCAACTCTGAAGAGGCCAGGCGTTTTGTTTAGGTGACCTGGTTCAGGGCCTATGGATTGGTAACTTTGAATTGACTCGCAACTGCGACTTTCCTCTCGATTTTATTGCTCTTGCTCTCCTTGTGATGTCCCAGTACCCGCCGTAGAAAAGAGGCACAAACGAAGAGGTTGGTGGGGGTTTTGTTGGCTAGGTAGTTCGCATTGAAGAATGGCTGTATCTGCATGCGAGATGAAAGCTTAAACGTCCGATGACGTCTGCGGAGCCGTTCTGCGCTGCACGGTGAGCCGCTGTGCAGGGGCAGCGCAGTGTAAGCCGCTGCCTAAGGAAGCTGGAAACGGCGGTTCAGATTTATTTCAGCGGCAGCGTGGTGTGAATTTACAGAGAAGAAAGAAATGGCCATGGGCGGCTCGCTTGTGATACGAAAACGTGATATGCTAAGAGGGCATGGCGAGACGCCATGTACAAAATGGGCAAACACAGTGTGCAATGTATTGAACAACTCTAATAAAATCTGTCAAAACGGGCTTTTCTTTTTTTTTGCTAGGACTTTTGACGGCGACTTGGCAGCGGTGGGAGCCCATCTGTTCTGTTCGTATTTATGCATCGCCTCCATCGACGGCTTCGGAACTACTGCAGCCTAATAACCGTGTATGCGAGGGTTTTTGATGGGCCCGTGACGCTGCCTGTTTCTACAACCAGATTTATTTCTATATTAAGAGTCGAGAGAAGACAACGCAGCAGTACTTTTGGTGAAAAATTTCTTTTTTCCTTCTTTTTTTCTTTTTTAGAACGGCTGCAAGGCTGCTGCCTGCTATGCAAGGTGACGATTGACTCGGCTGTAGTTGTCAACCCCACTGAATCCAGGAACCGAGAAAAAAAGAAAAAAAAAAGTATGCTATTCTCGGACGAGGCTAGAAAGCTCCGGGCGGCGACGTCGAGTTTGCCTTGGCTGCGTTGGGTAACACAAGACGAGAGAGAGAAAGACGACAAAGAAGGCGTTGCTGCTGACAGGAACCCAAGAGCCTCGTCTTGTTAACGGCAGAGGGTGGTTGCATGAATGAGGTCATTCGCATTTTCTTACACCATGACCGCTTTTCACCTGTTGCTGCGGTTGCGCTCTGTATTTCCCAAAAGCTTGCCACGTGCAGAGCGTCAAAGCGCTTGGGCGGTCTGTGGCCCGATCAGAAAAAACAGGGCAACATCTCGCCCCGGTTACCCGGGTTCTTTTGTCAAAAGCACTGTGTACTTGAATAAAAGAGGCAGTTCATTCGTCTCTTCTTGGGCTGGGACCACGAGCGTTTGTTTGCGCTGGGCCTTGTGCGCCGTCGAGACGGCAGCCTTGCCGTTTCGGGGCGCGGCGGCTTTAAACTACTATTAACTACCAAAATGTGCGCTGGGCGGAAGAAGGGGGCGCGTTTCCTGGGATGCGGCATGCGGCAAACGTGGCAAGAGGAAATGAAAGAGGCTACGCAGCCTGGTCGCGCGTGTACTCGAATCCGTAGGTACTGGTAGCAAACTTGAACCCAGTCGATAGCGTACGAGCCCGTTGGGATACTTGTCAGGGTTATTCAAGAATGGGACCACCCAGTGTCCTCTGTTGGGTCAAAAACCCGGTTCCTCACGCGAGAAAGGGCCCAGTTGGGTTTCTTGCGCGCCAGCATCACGCGCGGGCCCCATTGTCTTGCTTTTTTCTCTTCTCCCTTCTAGATTGACTTGCGAATTTTATTCCCACTTTAGTCCTCCGTAACAGCTTTCTCACCGGACCCTGAAGCTGCACCGCCGTGGGGCCGAGTGGCTGTAAGCTTGGCGGTGCTCGTTGGTCGCCCAAGCCAGCAAAGCAGGTTGTAATGTGTCCTCCGTACAGCAGAAAATCAATGGCCAACTACACCATGTAATGTACAATACTTCAGTTGCGGCACTTTCCCGGCTCAGCTCATGATAAGATGACGTTTGTAAAACAGTCCGGACAAGGCTCCCCCGCCGGTTGGCAACGCCAGTGGGTTCCTAGCGAAATGAGGCTACTACAAATTGCGCTAAACTGATCATGGGATAAGAGGCTGATGATGTGCATGGAGGATAGTCAGGGGTAAATGAACACACACACACACACTTGACGGGTTTATTGTCCCGAGCCAGGGGCCGTGCGGTTACCCTGGCGGCCGTGGTTCATTCACACAGTGTGGTGCAGACGAACGGTACTTTTTGGCGGTTTGGAACCGGGGGCGCGGGTGCAATCTTACGAACCTTGACATGGGCTCGAGAACCTGGCTCTTTTGCCGGTTTGATACTCGTCACTATCCGACGATGTTGTGGTTTCCCCTGTCTGGGGAGATGAAAGGGAGTGTAAAAAGGTAGAACGAGTTGCAGTAGAACCGGGACAGGCATCTGAATGCAATCGCTATTTTGCTAGGTTTCTTTCATGCCGTACGAGCAAATCCTCCAGCCTTGCAGGTCGCCAGGGGCGGGGCGCCCGTCATTTCAACCGGACACGGCCGATGCAACAAGCAAGAAAAAAAAAAAAAACAAGTCCCGCCGCCGCTCATTTCACCCGATGACGGTGCGACGTCGTGTGTATCCGATGCACGGCCGATGCGCTCCTGCAGCCTGGCCCTGCCGGTACCTTGTCCGTTGACGGGCACTGTGCTTCCCAAGAACCTTGATCACACTGGGGACGAAGGAGTTTGCATGAATATGTCGATACGTCAGGAGTCGGTGAGATCAAACAGCTGTCGATGCAGATGTTGGCTCGGTGAACCCGTCTATGGAGGGAGGTCGCTCACTGATAGAAGGGTTGACTGATAAAGGGCTGTTGCGTGTTTCATGTCTGACACTGGCCGTGTTTGCGCCCAAGAGGATAAACCTTGCGCTGAAAAATCGATGACGATAACGTCGAACACGGGGTGACCGCACGCAACCCCCTGACAACCGCACAGCCAAGAAGGGTATAGTGGGAAAATTAGTGTGCATTAGTGTGCATTAGTGTGCATAAAGCTAAACTAGATTTGGAACTCTGTCTCCATAGACTGTGGATCCCCTGCCTCTTGCTCGAGATATGATTGGTTGTCCTCGTCCCCACTTGCGTCATACTCCAACTCCCACACCTCGAACCCATCATTGAATTCAGCCAATTGCGCGTCAGAGAGCCCTGGAGGTGGGTCAGGAGCTATTACCGAAAGAGGCTTAGCCTTGATGATGTCCACCACCTTGGTGAATTTCTGGTTGGGGTCAATGCGGACCCGCTTCCGTCTGATTGGCCGATACGCCTTGAGGCTGCTGCGCAAGTGCCCCACCTCTTCTTTCAAGCTGATCACCTCGCCTTGAAGTTGCGTCATATACTTCTCAAGCTTCCGAAAGAAGCTAGTCGGGGTGGGTCCTTGCTTGTACGCATATGCCGCTCGTTGGAGGTCCCTGCATGATTTTGGGGTTCTGATGAGAATGTCAGCGCTTTCCTGGCTGCTGAGCGGTGCGATTGGCTCGTCATGAGGTGTGTGTGGGTCAAGCACAAGTACGTGGGAGAGGGGCACCGACGCATTGATTGGTCGAATTCCTGTTCCCCGCCACCCACCCCGCACATTTTCTGGGGTAAATGCACTAGCACGTGCAATTGCGTATGCGTCAATAAACAATGCCTTCTGATTGGCTAGTTCCATGCCCTGAGCTAGGCTCGAATAGGCAGAGCGGTATTTTCGTTTGAGGGGCGCGAATAACCCCATATCAAGCGGCTGCAGGATATGCGATGTGTGGGCAGGCAAATATAGCAGCATGATATTTGATTGGAAGGCTAGCCACATAAAGTGGAGCTGGCAGTGGCTGCCGTGGCCATCCAAAATTAGCAGCCGCTTTTGTGAGGGGTCGGCGGGTCGTGTGAGTGGGTCAAAATGCTTTGTGAGCCAATCAATCGCGATAGAATTGCTGGTCCACCCTTTTGGAGTTGTCTTATAGGACCAATTGGAGTTAGGGTCCAGTTTTTCCTTGAACCAGTGCCGCCAGACATCTAATTGGCCCTTGAACAGAATAACTGGGTCAATTGACCCCCTAGCTGCGGAGACGCACTCCAAAATCGTGATCCAGCTGCCTGGCTCAGGCTGCATAACTGGGGTCGACTTCCGGCCAGCCCGGCTAAGGACTAGCCCGTTTAGGCCTAGTCCCTCACGTAGGCCTGTCTCATCCATATTCCAAATTGCTGAATTGGGTATATCGCTGTAATCTGGGTGTTGCAATTGGTCGAAAAAAGCGGAGATCTTTTCGGGGGTTGCACTAGTGGCCCGATCCAGTCCAATCGGCCGGGCCCGGGTTGTTGCTATTTCGGGGTGGCGTTGGAGAAAGCGGGTTAGCCAATGCTTGCCAAGAGGGCGCTGATAGCCCAATTCGGCATGGCGCCGCACGGCAAGCATCCTGATTTGCTTGTGGGATGGAGCTAGGCCGATTTTGGCTTGGTGTATAACGTAATTGGCCAGATAAGTCTCCCAATAGGGGGGAATTGCCTGCCGCTTCTGCGTAGCCCGCTTGCGAGAGTCCACACCTTGCTTGCGGCCGCGCAGGGTTGATTTGGGGACCCTGCATGCAGTGGAGGCCTTAGCCAATGAGGAGCCGTCTTTAAGTAAGCGGAGGCCTTTGCCGACGTCTGATTCGCTGTAGGAAGACATTGAAAGTGGAGAAAATGACGTGTGCATGGGTGGGGAAGCCGTTGTGTGTGGAGAAGTGTTTTTTGGAGGAAAAGAATGAATATTCTGATTGTTGACGTAACACAAGCCATTTATATCCACCTGGACCCACATTCGGCGCGGGATAACGTCCATCCGCCAGGGCGTGACCCTAACCAGTCTAGCCTGATTAGGCAATGATAAGCGGGCCCTGGCTGTGCGGTTGTCAGGGGGTTGCGTGCGGTCACCCCGTGTTCGACGTTAGGTCCTGTTTCGCGCGTTGGTCTGATAGATTTGAGTTGTTCGTTGCGAGCTATTCGAAACACTTTTTTTCTTCTTGGTATGCCGCTTCAGCAAGGCTGGTGACTCGCGAGGCTTGGTGATAACGCCAGGGGCAGTTCTGATATAGAGTGCTTTTTCTGAAACGGACCGTGGCTGCAGTGGGTGGTGCTTAATATCGTGGATTAATTACGACTATAGTCTTGTAGAAATTGAGATGAAGGGACGAACGCGCGGGAAAGAGTGTTGCAGGTGTGTGATGTGATATAGTGCTTCAGGAGGCCATGACGAGTCGCATGCCTATTCATTATCTGCGCTTAGTATCTCTGGATTTTCATGTTCTAGATAGTATATGTGAGACGCCGTAGAACTGCTCTCCTCTTTGCATCCCTTCAAGGTTCGGCGAAATCTTTTGTATTACGAATGCGCAACCTGTTTACCCTCATGTTGCTTTGACCAATATGTCACGATAACAGCAAGCAGACTACCTGGATCTATGGTCAATATTGGAACCTGAAGTCGTTGATTGGGATCGCTGCGCTCATCAATGCACCTCGAGATGCTTCAAGCCGGGCAGCGCGCACCACCTCACACCGTGCGATGCGTCGGCGGAGAAAAAGAGACAATCCTACGACCTGTGGCCAAAAAGGTGAGCGTTTCTCCCGGAGAGAATTGACCATGTATAATTTTCCTCATTTCTCCGGCCGCGCATCAAGTCCTGATTCTACAGCAGGACCCAGAGTCGATAATATACTGGCCTTGTCAAAGTCTAGAATCAGCATGGCCCCTTGATTTTCTGTATTGCATTTGACTACACATTCCTCCAAACCTGCCAAAAAAGTCAGGAGGAACAACCAGGTGAGGCCAATCGTCAACGCCGTGGACCCGGCGCCGTGACGGAGAGGCTTGCGCTAATGACGCTAGCACGCCCGGTGGGGGAGCCGGCTCCGGTGGTCGGCCACCGTGCGGGTGCGGAGAAATGGCGAAGGGCTGAGGACGGTTCGAAATGTGTGTTTGCGGGAGACGCGGGTAACACGAGTGGGATGAGGGAGATTTGGGTGAGGGAAATACTGGACAATGCTAGTTCAACTCAATTATGGAGGAAGCGAGAGAACAATCGCACAATGGCAATGGCAGCGAGCAGAATTTGGCCGACAAGTTTGGTGGAAATGGCCGACGCCACGGCTGGTTGCGAGAGGGATTTGCGTACACCGGGCAGCCATCGGCCGACGGGTTGTGGAGAGAGGGGTCATGGGGTTCGAGTAAGGACGGGGTAAAAATGAGGAGAAGTGAGGCGCAACGAGGGAAAAAAAAGACGAAAGAGATCTAGCTTCGGCGGTATTCTTTGAACCTTTGGGGACCACAAACTTGTCCATGTCCGTCAGGGCAAACTTGCAAACTTAGGTAAGCCCCCCTCTAGTAACTACCTAGTACTTCTTTTTGCATTGCCGCTAAATACTTCCCCAGACCCGCCCTGTAAGCTCCCCGCTAAAAATGTCCGCCAGGCGCTGTGGTAGGCTGGGCTCGGTTCCTCTGATGCTGCTTAGCGTGCTTTCAGTGGTTCGTTGGCTGGTGAGCTGGCGCCTAATTGGCCTGGGCTGATTTTCTCGTTTTTGCCTTGGTCATTCTTTTTTTTTCGCCTGCCCAGATTTCCAGCCTCCATCACAGGTCACCCACAGCTTCAAGCCCAGCCTTGACCCGGTCCAGCGCCGCGCCCCTCTCCTCCTCCCAACATCTGCGCTCTCCTGTCGCCGGCTGTTTCTCTTCTCCTCTTCTCCTCAACAAACTTGCGATTCTCTGCAATATTTTTGCCTCGCCGTCTCCCTATCAATTGCTCTTACTAGACGGCCGTCCTTGACAGCCGCATAGCTCCTCCAAAAACAGAACACTCTGCTTGGCGGGCCTTCCCCTCATCTCGACCTCGACCCCGACCCGGCACACGAGACCGCACCGCATTGGCTTCGGCCTCTTTCCAGCTATCCTCCTAGAGACGCAAGCTCGCATTCGACACATCTCTGCATAGCTTGCTGCACCGTCCTTGGCTCTCCCCCTGACCCGTCGCCATGGCCTCCAACGGTGACAAGCCGGCGCGTGACGTCAAGAGCCACCTCCTCTTTGAAGTCGCCACCGAGGTTGCTCACAGAGGTAATTGCCTCTCCCTCCCACAACCCCCGCCCCAATCGCACTGCTAACTTGCCTAGTTGGTGGTATCTACTCTGTCCTCAAGTCCAAGGCCCCCGTCACCACTGCAGAGTATGGCGACCGCTACACCCTCATCGGCCCCCTCAACCACCAATCGGTACGTCTTCCCAACCCTCCCAATGGCTCCGCGCGCGCGTGCTGACCCTGTTGTAGGCTGCTGTCGAGGTGGAAGAGATGGAGCCCAACACCCCCGAGCTCGCCGCCACTCTCCAGGCCATGAAGGAGCGCGGCATTGGCTTCATGTACGGCCGCTGGCTGATAGAGGGCGCCCCTCGTGTCTTGCTCTTTGATACCAAGACGGCTTATGGCTACCTGGACGAATGGAAGGGCGATCTCTGGAACGTTGCCAGCATCCCGGCTCCTCCCGGCGACGACGAGACCAACGAGGCTATCGTCTTCGGCTACCTGGTCGCCTGGTTCCTCGGAGAGGTACGTCGAACGACCGACCCCCGCCGCATACGTCAGCTAACATGAACCAGTTTGTGTGCCACGAGAAATCCAAGGCCGTCATTGCCCACTTCCATGAGTGGCTCGCCGGTGTTGCCCTGCCTCTGACCAAGAAGCGCCGCATCGACGTCACCACCATCTTCACCACCCACGCCACCCTCCTCGGCCGATACCTCTGCGCCGGCTCCGTAGACTTTTACAACAACCTGCAAAACTTTGACGTCGATGCCGAGGCCGGCAAGCGTGGCATCTACCACCGCTACTGCATCGAGCGCGCTGCCGCCCACTCGTGCGACGTCTTCACCACCGTCTCCCACATCACCGCCTTTGAGTCGGAGCATCTGCTCAAGCGCAAGCCCGACGGCGTCCTGCCCAACGGCCTCAACGTGACCAAGTTCTCCGCCGTTCACGAGTTCCAGAACCTGCATCAAGTCTACAAGGAAAAGATCCACGACTTTGTCCGCGGGCACTTTTACGGCCACTACGACTTTGAGCCCGACAACACCATCTACGTCTTCACCGCTGGCCGCTACGAGTATCGAAACAAGGGTGTCGACATGTTCATTGAGTCGCTTGCCCGCCTCAACCACCGTCTGAAGACGTCCGGCAGCAAGATTACCGTTGTAGCCTTCATCATCATGCCTGCCAAGACCACGTCGCTCACCGTCGAGGCCCTCAAGGGCCAGGCCGTCATCAAGTCCCTGCGCGACACCACCCACGTCATTGAGCAGAGCATCGGCCGCCGCATATTCGAGCGCTCCCTCAAGTGGCACGAGGGCGACCCCATGCCCGACGAGAAGGAGCTCATCTCCAGCCAGGACCGCGTTCTCCTCCGCCGCCGCCTGTTCGCCATGAAGAGGCACGGTCTTCCCCCGATTGTCACCCACAACATGGTCAACGATCACGAAGACCCCGTCCTCAACCAGATCCGCCGCGTCGAGCTCTTCAACCACCCCACCGACCGCGTCAAGGTCGTCTTCCACCCCGAGTTCCTCAACTCGGCCAACCCCGTCCTGCCCCTCGACTACGACGACTTTGTCCGCGGCTGCCATCTTGGCGTCTTTGCGTCCTACTACGAGCCCTGGGGCTACACCCCCGCCGAGTGCACCGTCATGGGCGTTCCCAGCATCACCACCAACCTCTCGGGCTTTGGCTGCTACATGGAGGAGCTGATTGAAAACTCGAGCGACTACGGCATCTACATTGTCGACCGCCGCACCAAGGGCGTCGACGACTCGGTCAATGAGCTCACCGGCCACATGTTTGACTTTTGCGGCAAGTCGCGCCGCCAGCGCATCAACCAGCGCAACCGCACCGAGCGCCTCTCGGACCTGCTCGACTGGAAGCGCATGGGCATGGAGTACGTCAAGGCCCGCCAGCTCGCCCTGCGCCGCGCGTACCCGGATTCTTTTGGCGCCGACGACGACCTTGACGAGGACTACATCCCCGGCGTCGAGCAAAAGATTTCGCGTCCGTTTTCGGTGCCCGGCTCGCCCAGGGACCGTACCGGCATGATGACGCCCGGTGACTTTGCAAGCCTACAAGAGGGCCGCGAGGGCCTGAGCACTGAGGACTATGTCGCTTGGAAGCTTCCGTACGTATCTGCATGAAACCAACCATTCGCTACTTTCTTATATACTGACTCTTTTCACAGCGCCGAGGAAGACCCCGACGAGTACCCCTTTCCTCTCACCCTGCGCACCAAGCAGCCCGCCGCCAACAGCGCGCTCAGCCCGGCGGCGCCCGCTCCCCTCCAGGACAGCAACTAGTACTACTACTAAAGACCAACGAAGGCAGCGGTGCATTATATCACGAGGGGTCATGTGGGATGATAGCACATGGACAATTAAAGGATTAAGTTTTCTTTTGTACGAGGGAAAGGGACGAGAGGATTTGTATGTTTGTTGTATCAAGTACTTTTTTTTTGTTTACTTACTATTATCAATTAAGCGACACTGCATCTCTAGCATGTTGAAACAAAAAACCTTTTTGTGCCCTGATTGCGCAAGTCAAGATGAGAAATTGCTGGAAATAGAGTCTGCAAGAGAGTGCAGATGGTATGCACAAGTGGTATATTGTGCACAGGTACGGAGTACAGAGTACGCAATTTAATACGGTTCTTGCTGATTTCCATTAAAGAAATGATCTGTATACAATGAATTATAAAAAGAAAAAAATACAGTCAGGTCTTCTACGTAGTTACAGCGCATAATTCTCCGTATGCAGGAAAATCTCCTCCAGCTCATCATCGCCCCAAATCTCCGCCTGCAGCTGCGCGACGGTATTCGCGACGCCGACGCGCATCGCCGGCGGGCCGCAGACAAACACGGCAGTGCGGCGTCCAAGAATCCCGCGGCCGTCGGCGCCGCCCGTGGCCCACTGCCGCAGCATATACCCCAGCTCCGGCCGGCCGTACTCGAGGCTCCAGCCGCCGTCAATGGCGTGCGGCACGGGAAACGCCGACCGCATCAGGCTCTTCTGGAACTCGGTCGGCGTGGCGGGGAAGCCAAAGTCAAACCCTGACGGAGGGCCAAACGTCGACGTGGGCCGCGGCTGCTGCTGCTGGCCAGAGGAAGGCAGGTTGGAGGTGCGCAGGTGCGCGAGCTCGGGCGGTTGGGGAGGGTCGACGACGGCGGCAGCTTCGCAGTCGGGTTCGGCCCGCACGGCACCGGGGATGTAGTTGAAGTGCGGCGGGTTCTCGCGGTGCAGGGGCGGAAAGTGAAACCCAGTGTCCCGCGACCCGTCGTCGACGGGCTTCTTGTCGACGGGGAAGCCGTTTGCGTTGAGCAGACGGTCGTCGGGCTCTTCGTCTGGCGGCTGTGGCGGAGCGTGGTGGTGCGGCTGGAGGTACCGTTGCGGCGGGAGCGCGGTGATTTTGTCTTCGTTTTCGGCGCGCAGCTCGCGCTCGCGCTCCGGATCACCCCTCGCCTCGTCGTAGATGAGGGCCGAGTTGCGCTTCGAGGCAACACCAGCGACGAAGCTGTCGAGCTTGTCATGCAAGAGGTGGGAAAGCTGGCGCTTGTGCGCGGCGGCGCCGGTGACTGCGCCGGTGCCACTAATGGGCGCCGTCATTTGCGCGCCGGCAAAGTTTTGGCGGTCGCGCACGGCCGAGGTGACAAAGAACTTGCACGTCACGCTCTCGGGCGGCGCCGACTCGCGGCACAGGCTCAGCTCGTCGCGGAACCACTGCATGGCGTCCATCTTCTTCATGGACCAGACGACGACGACCTTGCGCGTAATGGCCTTGCCGTCGCGCATGCGCTTGATGAGGTTGAGCAGCTGCGACATGAGCGACGTGATGCCGCTGCCGCCAGCAATCAGGATGCACGTGTCAAAGGCGGCCAGGTCGCGCCGCATGCCACCGTACGGCCCGTCGAGAAAGGCGCGGTACGTGTGAAAGGGCCCGTGCTGCATGGCTGTGTCGAGGACTTTTTTGGTGAAGCCGCCGTAGGGGCGGAAGACGAGGACGCAGTCGCGGTAGTCCTCGCCGTACTCGGAGGGGAAGTCCTCGCTGCAGAGGGAGGAAATGGTAAAGGGGTGGTTCTCAAAGACGGAGATGGCGGGCATGCGCAGGTAGACGTACTGCCCGGGTCGCCAGCGCATTTGCGTGGGGATGGTGACTTTGATGCAGTTTTCGGCCATGAGAGTCACGGCCGCTTCGTCGCCTACCAGAAAGGACAGCCGCCAGGGCCGTACCCAGTTGAGACGGAGGAAGCGCATCACGTAGCAGACGAACCAGATAGCCAGGGTGGCGTACAGGTAGCTCCAGGACATGAGATAGTTTTTCGTGTGCCAGAATAGCAGCGCAGTGTAGACGACGCCGGCAGGAACATGCAGCATCACAAACGTCTCGTATGCGACGCGGCGGATCCAAGGCAGCGACGCCACGCAGAGCCAAATCAGTGGGATAATACAGGCGATTCCGGTGCCATAGTAGAGGCCGGTACCATCGGGAAAGAGCTTGTAGAACACCTTTATGCCGTCGTCCTCCCAGACCGGCTGAATGTAGAATGGGATCATGTGGACGAGCGCCAGAAACAGGCATAGGTAACTGAGCCACCGGTGCATGACGTTGAGCCGCTCTGGACCGATGCCAATCACAAGAGTCAGCAGGTTCGCCTTCATGCTGGTGGCAATGATCCAGGGCGTCAGCGCCACAGAGATCATGCCTGCTCGGACGGCCAGCGGGGGCGATCCGAACTGAATGCTTTGCCAGTAGAGAGGCTGCTGAAGGAAGCAGTAGAGCGTGACGAAAACGACGGCAATAAAGGTGCATGCCAGGACAGCGAGCGACGAAAACGTGAAGCGATATTTAAAGATGACAAGATCAGGAATGGGCCGGTAAAAGATCCATCGAAACAAGGCGAGGGTGTCGTTGACGATGCCGACGGAGGAAAAGTGCGCCTTGGGTCGAAACTGCTTCTCGCCGGTATGGGGGCCTTCTGGGAAGAATTGCGAGCCCTGGCCGCTTCGAAGAGCCGAGAGGAAGACGTCCGAGTCGACATTGTACGTTGTTCTGTAATGGTTCTCCAACTCTTGCTTATAGATGGCCTGGCGGATCTTGTCTTGCCAGAAATGCCAGGCACGCACGACGACAACGGACAAGACGAGGGCGAGCGCAAAGTAGGTCCATCCGAGGCCGTATTTTCCTGATTTGGACCACGGATCGACGACATTCGCCTGCACGAGGCCGGGCGGGCTCGTCGGAGTCAGGGGGATGTTGATTCGTTTTGATAGTCTGGAGAATACACCATGAGCCGCACGGGCGACGGAGGAGTCATGGTTGGGGGGAGCCATTTCGACCAGCGACGTGGGCTCTGGTTATTGGTGGCAGCACAACACAGGCGCGCCGATTCTTGGACAGTCGTGCGTCACTCGAGACGTTGCGCGCTCGATTTACACCGAGGACATTGGTTACCGCTGGATGCAGCGCACTAGCTGAGCCGGTCCGCGTGCGGTGGTCATGTATCGCGGCGGCTTGGTGGTGTGCAGATGATAACGACAGAATGGACAGCCAGAGACGGCTGCAAGATGACAATCTTCATGCAAAGACGTATGGGGAGTGGGAGAAAAAACGGTGGCACCCTGGGAATAAGAGTGAAGAGCTAGCTACGGTGACGCAGGGTGCGGCTAGTCGGAGAAATATATTGAGATCAGGCTTGAAGCCCTCAGAGACAAGCTAGAGATGTTGGAGAGCGGATGCTGCGGGCATCCGGAGTACTAGATCGGATACTAGCTAGTAGGTAGTATGGCATTTCACTGGGGTGTGCGCCGGGATGCTGAGTGGCACACAAAATGTGATGAGGGCCCGGGGAGGGACATGAATGGCTCCGTTGAGAACGGTCCCCCATGCATGGCCAAGTGGCCGAGACAGAAAGCGGCTGGTACCGTGTCGAGATTGGCTGCGACGGGGAAGCTAAAGTGGTGGCTAGGGGACAAGTCGCAGGGTTCAAGACCGTTTGGCAGAGTAGCGGTGCGGTACGGCGAATGGTAGAGCCGGCGCGGGGCCAAAATGTGATGAGGCTTGCATGTGCAGCAAAGTGGTACTTGTAATGGTGGGAAGGCCTTGTCATTGAGTGTTTGACTTGATTCTGAGCCGATTTTCTTTGCTTGATTAGCCGAGAGGATCGATCCCGGGGCGGACACGGTCCAGATCTGATGAAGAGATTCTATGTATCGATCTTGTTGTGGAAAGAGAAGTCCTAGTTATGCTTCTGTTAGCATGGCGCGTGCCGAGAAACATGTCCTGCTCGAGAAACAAACAGCGCCTAGAAGGTAAACGCTCATCTGGATCCAATTCATTTGCACGAGTGGAGATTGGGGTCCGGATGGCGGCTCATAATGAAGTAGTCAGTTAATAGTGGTCCAGCGTAGCAAGGCTACACACAAGGTCATATATTGAACCATTTGGTGATGGAGATGGGTATGCTTGGTATGGTAATACTTTGTAGGTCGAGGAGATTCACGAGACCCAGAATATTGCGAAAATTGGGGTTGGCGGGAGCTAACCAAACGGGCGGCTAAAGCGGCGCTCTGATTGGGCCCAGGCGACCAGGATCAAAGAGCCAGACAGCTGCTAGCCAACCAGCGAGCCACACCAGTGCAGCAGGTTGGAGGGGTTTGTAGAGGATCTCCTCTCAAAGTCCAGGCAATGGAATTGGTAATGATGATCAATAAACAGCTGCGGAACAAAAGCCGGCTACTGAGACTGGTATTGTGTGTGCAACCAACACAGCGTTGCATTGGTGGTGGCGTCGATGGAGAGACGTAGTATTACGTCCTCCTGCAGACATCTATGCACAGGCTGGCCAGCCTCACGGAATATTCTTGATCGGGCAACTAGAAAGAAAAAAATCAATAGCAAGTTGGTTGGTCATTGGGGGCTGTTTTCTTAGCTTCTCAAGTTTGTTTATCTGGCTGCCTTGTGCATCACCGCGTGAATTTGTCCAAAAGCAAGGTCGCCAGCTTGTTGACGGATGCTGTCTTTTCTACCAATTTTTTATTTATTTACGAAACGAGTACAACTAAAAGAGAGCCCACATAGTTGTAGTAACCAATAAGCTATTCGTACCTGCTGAGGAACGAGATAACCTCAGCACAGCACATATCTATCGTCTTGAAGAAACAAGTGGCCAGTATGACAACATCAGTCGATTTCCAAAACAATGTATAAAGGTTTTCTATGTTTCGCTTATATTCCGCCCAATATATAGGTAATTTTCGATATGTTGTCTCTTCGCATTTTGCACTTGCCACAGCTAAATCACCATACAACTTGGACTATTTATTTGCACCGTTTCCAACGCAGCGAGGTGGGAATTTTGTATTACAAAAAAACATCTCTTGTTTCAATTTTATACAGAGGCCGCTAATATTAATCTCACAAATCTTTAAAACCCCTTTATCACGGGATTCAGTCACTTCATGAGCATTACCTATTGGCAGTTCGTGCTCCCCGGGCCCCACCTAGCCCACCATGCGCCAGCAACACTTGAGTTTTCTAGAGACAAGAAGCTTGCCCAATTTTCAAAGGGCCTCCAATACGCCTCGTACGCCTCGCCTTGCTTTAGTTCTCAGGAGCAGCTGCGATTGACACTCCCCCAATACTATTTACTGAATTTACAGCCACAGCTATGTCGGAGGCGGGCCTGTCCCGCGCCACCTTTGCGAAGCTTTCGCCGCACCCATACCTGCTCGCCAACCTCGAGCCCTCCAACCAAGACATTCCACCCGCGCGAAGCAACGGCCGCGCCCCAGACGAAGGCCGCACACCCGAAATCAACCTCTCGTCGCTTTCGCATGCTCATGGAAGCTCTCTGGTCCGAATTGGCGATACGACGGCCATCTGCGGCGTCCGCGCTGAGACCATCCTGACGACCAATATTCCCAATCATCGCGCTTCCAACACCGAGTCAGAGCTGCGCGACTACGACCTGCTGGTTCCCAACATTGAGCTGGCAACTGGTTCTTCTCCCCAGAACCTCCCGGGAGGCCCGCCTTCAACGCTGGCACAGACGCTCAGCACACGAGTATACTCGCTTCTACACGGTTCAAAGCTGCTCGACGCCGCCGACTTTCGCATATGGTATACACAAACGGCAGAGCCGACGGCCGAGGACGATGAGATGAAGGATGCAGATGGCCAAGATGAAGCGGAGTTCAGCGATGAGCGCCAGGTCATTGCCTACTGGGTGCTCTACATTGACATTTTCTTCATCTCGCTCGACGGCAACCAATTTGATGCCGCCTGGGCGGCAACGTTGGCGGCACTGCGCGATACCAAACTACCACGGGCTCGGTACGATCCGGATAGTGAACTGGTCGTCTGTTCCAGAAAACACCCAAAGCCGCTGTCCATCAGCGGCTTCCCCATTGCTTGCACAGCGGCCGTCTTCACCGGCAAGGAGACGGATCGCCCGACCGAGGGCAAATGTTGGGTGCTGGTCGACCCAGACACGCTGGAGGAGTCGCTCTGTGACGAGACGCTTACAGTGGTGGCAGATTGCACTGGAGGGGCTATGAGGATACTGTCCATCTCAAAACACGGCGGTACCGTGCTGACGCCGAAGCAACTACGGTCGAAACAGCTGCTTGGCTTCGTCGAGAAGCGGTGGAAGGGGTTCGCCGATGCCATGTCGGTTTAGGATAGCATCAATGAAAAATTAGCATGATACCCAACGGCACGACCCCTTAGCAAATTGGATGCGCAGTGAACTTTGGAGTACTCGGGGCTACAATCATGGGGCAGGCCGTTAGTCCCAGCCAAACAGGAGATAATTGTGGTATTAAAAATGTGTCAGCCATTCGAACCACCCTTTCAGACTTTATTCTAGGGCAGTAGATACCGGCCGACAGGTTACTCTACCACTCAGTTCAAATCAAGTCACGGCGCCACGGGCCAGAGGCCAAAGACGCCGCGGAGGATAATTTGAGGCGAGCGGATAGAGAAGAAGAGAAAAAACCTGACCAAATTTCCACACTGGCGAACGAACTTTGTGGGTGCGCCGGTCGCCTGCCGCCTGAGGCAGCACCCCCCACTTGAGCCCGCAGAATTTATAGCCACTTTTTTTCCTCCTCTTCTTTTCCTTCTTTCTAACTCACTCCATCACAGCTGGCCCTGGGCAAGCATGGAATCCCTCTCAGACACTGATTGGGATGTAGTTATCAGCGGCACGGGACTGCAGCAGTCTCTATTTGCCCTGTAAGCTTGGATTCCATCGAAAGAATAGGCGCAATAGATGTCTACCCCACGGAGAACCCTGACAATTTCTGACTGACCCCGTGTTGGAACATCAAAAGGGCACTCTCGCGATCAGGCAAGAACATACTCCACGTTGACCCCGAGGGCTACTATGGAGAACACGAAGCTGCGTTCAGCCTCCAAGAAGCGGATATCTGGGCCGCCAAGCATGCGTCGCTGGACACGACGGGACTCTTTCGCGCTGCCGAGGTGACCAAGGCGGACACCATGCCTTCGCCGCGTGCCTACAGCCTGGCCCTCGCGCCGCAGCTCATACACACCCGGTCCGAGCTCCTCAACAAGCTCGTCTCCTCCAAGGCCTTTCGGCAGGTCGAGTTCCAGGCGGTCGGGTCGTTTTTCATCTTTCAGTCTGCGCCAGCAGACTCTGATGACGCGAAGACGCCCACGCTCTCCCGCATCCCGTCGACAAGAGAAGACGTCTTCTTAAGCACGGCAATTCCGGTCCGGGCCAAGCGGTCGCTGATGAAGTTTCTCAAGTTTGTCCTCGACTACGAGTCGGAGCCACAGGCCGAAATTTGGAAGCCCCGCGCTGACGAGCCACTGGCCGGCTTCTTGGGCTCCCAGTTCAAGCTAGATGACACACTGCAGTCCTACGTCATTGCCCTGACCCTCAGCCCCGATGGAAACATCACGGTCGAGGACGGGCTGGTAGCCATCAGCCGACACTTGACCTCGATGGGCGTCTTTGGCGCTGGCTTCGCGGCTGTCTACCCGAAATGGGGTGGGTTGTCCGAGGTCTGCCAGGTCGGGTGTCGTGCTGCTGCTGTCGGTGGCGCTGTGTACATGCTTGGTACTGCTATCACGAACGTTGCAAAGCGGGACGATGAGAGGACCAAGCTGGACATTTCCCTCTCCAACGACATGGTGGTAAAGGCCAAGACACTATTCTGCAGCTCAAAAAGCAGCCCTGAAGACGGAGTGTGCCTGACACGAATCACAGCTGTGGTTGGCGCTGCCTTGCCAAGGCTGTTTGAACCGGTGGTGGATGGGTCTCCGATACCATCTGCCATCGTCGTGGCGTTCCCTACTGGCTCAGTGTCCGATGGCGATGGGCATGCTACAGAGTATCCCATATATGCCATGGTGCACTCGAGCGACACGGGGGAATGCCCTACTGGTCAATGTAAGTTGGACACTTTCTTTTCCTCTACCTCTGCAAATATTACGGTGTCCGGATGAAAAAAACCTTACGAATACTTATCTACATTGTCTGATTTTCAATGACGATCAAACTTCTGACAAACTGATTGACACTACCCAACTCGAACTTTTGTTTGCCCTCATTTTCAATTGGCACGTTTGCTAACCGCATATGTCCTCTAGGTATCGTCTATCTGAGCACCATTTCTACAGCGTCGTCCAAGATTCTCCTGGCGGCCGCCTTGTCATCTCTCCTGCGCTCCGCCGCTTCTGAGGGTCAAGCAACTCCCGAGGTAGTCTACAAGCTGCAGTACGAACAAAGGGGCTCAAAATCGCCGTCCTTGGACGTGAGCGAAGATGATGTCGTGACATTCGGCACGCCAGTCTTGGATTTGGCATTTCGCGACGCCACCCTGCAGCCTGTGCGCCAGGCGTGGGAAAAGCTTACCGGTCGGAGTGGTGAGGAAGCCGACGCTGAGTTTCTCGTGTTTGAGGATCGCGAAGGTGTGACCGACGATGACGACGTATTTGACGTCTAGATTATACCACGCATACATGTAGATTCGTATGCATTAATGGAAATATGTGAACCCTTTTAAGTCCATTTGTTGACTACCTAATAACCATTGTGCTGTTTTTCCGTATTGTGTAAGCTAAATAGTTGCGTCCGTCTGAATGTGCCATGACCCGATTTTTGTCTTTTCCCACTTCCCATTTTCCTAAAAAGCCCCAGAGCCATTTTTCGATACATAATGCATGGAACCAATTCGTCGTCCTGTTTTCCCCGTAGCAAAGAAAATATCTCGAGAAACAAAAATATCAAAAGTAAATGCCAGTCCACGTCTCCGTATGTCCGTGTGTAAATGCCAGTATTGAACCCCAAGAAGCAATGCATAAGAAACAGTCAAAATAATAAAAACGGAGAAATGAAGAGAAGAAAATCCCATAGCAAAATTATTCAACCTCCCCGCCCAGGGAGAGGTCAATACCCACGTGAATGGCGCCAAACGGCTGCGTGCCCTGCTCGTTGTTGTCCTGGCGGACCCTCACCACACCATGCGTGACAAGCGCCAACACGTGCAAAAAGGCCTGCGCCGCGACCGCCCCGTCGTGCCTGCGCGGGCGGGCAATTTCCTCAAAGTCGACCCAGCGATGGCTGCCCGCCTCGTCATCGTCGCCTTGCACCACGGCGCGCTTGGAGGCGTAGTCGAGAAACGCTCGGGTGGCATCGTCCAGGCCGGCGTACGCGGCGTCGTCCAAGTCCAGCACGGGGTCCATGTCGTCCATGGAGGAGGAGTCGAGTTTGCCGCGGCCGGAGAGGTCCAGCACCACGTGGGACGGCGTGGCGGGATCGCTGTGCCGGTCGAGGCCGGCGAGCTGGTGGTGGTGCGCGTGCTTGTGGAACAGCGGGCTCGGTGCGGTGGTGGCTTTCTGTGCGCTGCCGCCGCGGAGGGACGAGCCTGGTGCGACAGAGCCGGTACGGCTCCAGGGCATGATGGAGGACGAGTGGTGGTCATCCATGGCGGGGAGCGCGTCCATGCCCATTTCAAAGTACGAGTCGTCCTGGCCAGGCAGCATCGGCGGAGGCGGAGGCGGCATCTCATCAGCTTGTAGGCCGCCGCGGCCCGTTTCGGCAGGTTCGTCGTGTCGGGGGCGGACGTTCCGCTCCAGAGCAGCAGCCGCCGCCTCGTCCGCGAAGGCCTCTTCGGACGTGCGGCGGCGTGCGGCCCGGTGAGGCGTCTCAGGCGCTGGCTGGCCAAAGGCGTCGGGGTGCAGCTGGGAGAGCACATTCCAGCCGCTAAACGCGGCGGCAAGGGGATGCGTCACGCCGCTCGTGCGGGACGCGCGCCCGACGTCGGCGAGTCCGTTGTGCAGGACAAAGGCGAGCGCGTTTCTTTTGGCCTGCGCGGGCGCGGTGCCTCTGCTGCCATCCCGGGACTGGGCCGCGGCGGTCATGATGTCGGCATAGTTGTGCAGCCAGTGCTTTTGCTGGCTGCGTGGGAGCACCGTCTCTTCGTCCATCATGGGGACGAGGGGCCTGACGGCGCGGCGGCGCCTGGCTGGTGCCGCAGCCTCTTCCACTACTTCTGATGTGGTGATGGTGCCGTTTTCTTCAGAGACGATGACGCGCTCGGTTGTCTGAGCGGCGGCAGTGGCGATTGGTCCTGGAAAGGCTTCTGCGTCGGGAAGTGCCTGCTCCTCGTCCATCATCATCACAACGTCATCCGGTGGTTGCGCGCCGGAAGCGGGCATGGAGATGTTGGAGGGCATGTCGCCAAAGTACGGGGGCAGCTCCGGCTCCTCCTCAGCGGCCCCGATCAAGTTGCCGTCGCCGTCAAAGTCGAGGCCAATGCCCGCAATGGCGTCAAACTCGTCCTCTTGGGTGGGAAACAACGCAAGCCCGCCGCTGCCGAGGTCGTCGTTGTCCCACGGGCCGAGCTTGGCGTACGGGGAGCTGCTCTGGCCGAGATGCGACGCCAGGCGGTAGCTTGCCGGCGAGTGCGAGGACGGCGGGAGCTCGAGGTTGATCAGTGGCGTAGGGCGGGTCTTGGCGGAGCCGCGCCGGCTGGCGTATGCTTGGAGAGGCGACATCTGTGAGAGCTTGGTGGCGGAGTCTTGGCTGGGGATGGCAAGCCAGGCGGCGTCGATGATGTTGAGGTCGAGCGGCGGGAGCTGGCTCATGGGGTCAAAGTTGGGGTCGTCTTGCAGAGTGATGTTCACGCGCCTACAGGCGGAAGAAAACGGTAAGCGTCTGCACAAAGAAACGAGAGTGCATGGTGAGTGCGATTGGTGGCTTGTGCACGAAGCTTACTTGGTCCTGGTGTCTGGCAGATCGAGGTGGCTCCCCTTTATGGCGCGGAAAAAAGTCATCATGTCGCTCTGCGTCTTTTCGGTATCGGAGAGGAGGTAGCCGCACTGGTCGGCAAAGACGCGCGAAACGCCATACAAGAGGTTGCCTTGGAGGCGCAGGGCCAGAGGCGCCCCAGGATCGAGGATCTTGTCGCATGCACGGGGGACATTGACATCTTGGATGGCTCTCTTTGTAACGCGCTTTTGATTCGATTTCCCAACGGTGGCGATGAGCCTAGACGAGTGTTAGCCGTGTAAGGAAAGCCCCTCGCTGCTGCTGCTTACCAGATGGTGGAAACGCCATATTGGGTGCTGGTTAAGACTGCATCCGTGTTAGTAGCGCACGGTGAATGGGCAGAGTCCGGGTAAGTATATGCGTACTTTGATTACTGTAAAACATTGTAAAGTAAAAATGAGAGACAAAGAAAAAGAAAAGGATGGATGTTGTATGCAGCAGCGCTTAGAGGTATCGCATGGTCTGGGGAAATGTGAAGCTACGGCGGCGTTTGAAGGAGGAAGACATGACCAACTTTGGCGATGGTAGATGGAAAAGGTTCCATTGGCATCGATTACGCGTTTGAGACGCGCCGTTTGCACTTTATCGGCGTCGGACTGGCAGCAATTCTGATTGAGTGCCTGCCAGCTGGCAGCTCCGTTGGTCATGCTGGCTGCGAACGGCAGGCCATTGAGAATCAGGACAAGAAACGGGCATCTGAGAAAACGAGAGATGTTGTTTGCTTCACTAATAAATCTTGTTTTGGTTCTTCAACCAGTCATTACTCACCGTCTGCACTTCCAGCCGAAATGGGCTTTCGCTCCCAGCACGGGTGGGTGAATGAGAACGGCCGTCCCAGTATCAGACACCAACACGACGCATGCCGTGTGTGTAGCGCAGAGCCTTTGCAATGATTGTATGCAAGTCAGTTCACATTACATTAAAATGAGCATATAACCTTATACATAACTGTAGAAAAATCGGGTGGTTCACGCCAGGACATCACGGTGCACCGTCTCGGTACAAGTCGGCCACTGACGTGTCGTTCCAAAGCACAACCAACTTCAAGCCGACATTTACACTATGCATCCAGGAGTTTTATTTCCCTCTTATCTGCTCACGCTATAACTTGGCGGCTCATCCCCTCTACTGTGCAACCTTGTCACCCGTTGCGTTTTCATTTGCCAACGCTCGTCTTAGTACCCCGCCGGGCGCTCAGCAATTTTACGCAGCCTGCAACTTCAGACCATTGCCAAGATCGTTTACCCCGCCGACAGTGCACACCAACATCGATGTAGATGTAGTGCTTTTTCATCCCGTTGTGACCAATTCTTACTAGCACACTTGCTAACCAGTCAAGTCACCCCGCCCACTGTCCACCAGCTTGTCGCTAGAGATTCCTTTGCTTCAATTATCAGTACCGAGCTTAACTAGCTCAGAGGCATAGTGAGACACTTTTTTGCACAAGTCTATAATTGTGATTTACTACTCTGTACCCATGCTTTGATCCTCCTAAGAGGCAGATGGCGCCTTTACCAGTTTGATGATGATGCCCTCCGGCTTCGCTCCGCTGTCTCTGTACTCGTTGGTGCTGCACAAGGGGTTGGTCAAGTTGGCTGTGACAACCGACCAATACACCGGTGGCGGACTGGGAGTAGACGGGCTGGATCAAGGATGGTACATCAACACGGCCAGCTTCTATCGTCAAATCAGAAACCTCAAGGCCGAGTCTGCTGCCCTGCCACGCACACATTGGTGGCGCGACGGGCACGGATCTCGCGCCGGCAGAGTGTCCCCCGGTAAACAGCGGCATTGACGCAAAATGTAAATGTCAGGCTGCCAGTCTGATGATGCACATTCCGTCTCGCGTGTCTGGCTATTTTGAAAGATCAACCCGTTTATCGGGGCAGTGCTTTGTGCGATACTTCCCAAGCCCTCCTCCCCACTTCTGTCGGGCCCGACGATCTACGAGTCAATTCACGGTCTGACCGTCTCGCCATGGACACTTCAACCTTTTCCCTCCCGCGGGACGCTTCTATCCACCTCGACATCGACATGGCGACCACGCTGACTTCGGCCCGGGCACAGGCCACGGCCGCGTTCCTGAGCGCGCCGTGGATGTTCGCCACGAGACAGACGTACGACAAGGAGACGAACCCGGATGGTGTGATTTCTTTTGCGCTGGCTGAGAATGTGCGTCAAGATCCTGCCAGGCAAAACGTCCCTTCAAAAGTCCAAATAATCACTGATCACTTCATATAGAAACTAGCTGTTCAAGATGTACGGGATTTTGTCAATCGCAATGTAAGTCTCTCCAAAGTCGGTGTGCGACGCAAGCTCACACCGTATCCGCAGGTCACATTCGAGGTCAACGACTTCAACTACGGCACCACCGATCGCTTTCCCAGGGCGCTCGCGGCGCATCTCACAGAGTACCTGCATCCATTCCTGCCCATTGAGCCCGAGCACATTCGCGCAACCAGCTCGTGCACTGCGCTGCACGACATGCTCGCCTGGGCCGTCGCCGACCCCGGCGACGCCATCCTTCTCAACAGGCCCATCTACGGCCGCTTCGAACTCGACTTTACCAACCGCGAGAAAGTCAAGATCCTGTATGCCGACACGGACGCCGAGACGTGCCTGCAAGTGAGCGCCCTTCAAAAGTACGAGGAAGCCCTCGCCGAGGCCGCTGCGTCCGGCATCAACGTGCGAGCCATTCTCATCGTCAACCCCAACAACCCACTCGGTACGTCTCTCTTTCGTTCCATCACTTAGACGATTCTCATCAGTAAGGCCAATGCTACCACCGAGACACGCTTGTCGAGCTCATGAAGCTCTGCCAGCGGCACCAGATCCACCTCATCAGCGACGAAGTCTACGCCTGCTCCGTCTTTCCCTCCGACGAGCCCGCTGCCACGCCCTTCACCTCCATGCTGTCCATTGATCCGAGGGGGCTCATCGACGCCGATCTGCTGCACGTCGAGTACGGCTTCGCCAAGGACTTTGCCGCCGGCGGGCTCAAGCTCGGTGCCCTCGTCAGCCGGAGCCGGCCCGTGCTGCGCGCCCTCGACACTTTAATGCGCTTCCACACGCCGTCGGGCGCAGTCCTTAACATGGCCTGCGCGCTGCTCGAGGACCGCGTGTGGTGCCGCGCGTATATTGACCGTATGCGCGCGCGCATCAAGGACGCGCACGCCCATGTGGCGGCGCAGCTGCGTGCCGCGGGCATACCGTTCCTACCGGGCTCCAACGCGGGCTTCTTTGTGTGGATTGATCTGTCGGCATACCTGCCGACGGAGCTCGATGGCGAGGAGAATGCCGACTTTGCGTTGACGAAAAAGGCCCTGGCCAAGGGCGTATTTGTGCAGCCCAGGGAGGAGCACGCCAACAAGCCTGGCTGGTTCCGGCTCGTGTATACCCAAGACCCAGAGATTATCACAGAGGGCATCAAAAGGTAGGTTGTATTACATGGAACTCTGTCGCGGATATTAACCACATTTTACATTTTACAGACTCAAGAGCGCGATAATGTGAATCAGCGAAACGAAGTCGCAAGCACTTACCGCAAATTCAAGGCATAAAATTTAGACGGCTAACTAGAATATTTTTGGATATCTTCTTATTTTTATTTACATTATATAAGCTATGAATAGCATTTATGCGCTATGAATAGCGTCTATGTGGGCTCAAATCGTGGGTTCAAGACGTGGTATCCGACCCAGTCGAAGCGACACCGCCAGCACTCCGGCCAGTCGGCAGCGAGAATCTTACTCCGACTGCCAACAGTACAAGGACTTTGATTCCGTGACTTCAGTCCAACTCTGGATGTTCGAACGTTTAAAAGTCTTGTACCCCAACAGAACACAGTAAATGCTCCAGAATAAGTAGCAAGGGCATGAAAATGATTGCGAAGTACTTTTTTCCAGAGGCTTTTGAGTTGCCGAAGCACTATTCGAGAGGTGTGCAGTCAGGCGTAGTAGAAATACATGAGCAGCATATGGCGAAATGCGCCTTACAGGTGGCTACAGCCGATTGAGCACGATGACTTCAACTGGCTGGGAGACATGTACAAACACGAGGCTGGTCGTATTTATATCCTCAACGGCAGCGGGAACAAGCGCTAGCAAAGATCCAAGTTAGGGCTCGGGTGTAGCATTAGTAAGCGTATTTTCTCTATTTTATTTTGGCTGAAAGTATGGGTGTTCTCTCTCAGACGTTGATGAAGCTGGTGCAGGGTAGGAGTAGCAAATAGGAGTCTCCAAGGCATCGCGGATGGACACTGGCTGACTCGCGGGATGGATTGGGCTGCTACAGAATGGAGACAGGATCTGGGAGCCTGATTGATTTCGATGCAAGCAACCCTGAATACTGGATCAAGCGGTGCTTCGGGCAAACCAGGCAGGGTCCGGGGGTTTTGCAGTGGGTTCGGGGGTGATGAACGACGATGAACTGGGTGGAGACTGGAGCCTAACGAGCGAACTGCGGCGACCGCAGCGACCGGCTCTCGCTTGTCAGGCTGGCAATGCCGCCATCGGCAGCGTGCAGATCACGTGACGAACTTTTGTTGCGAGAGCCCTGGTTTGCGGGCGGGCTAGGACAGGGTTGCCATTCAAGAGTCGGAGCTTTTGGAGAGTGAGCTGGGCGTTTGAGCTGTTTAAGAAAAATATCCGTAGGGCACAGTCTTTGTCTCTCTTCTTTCCCTGCATTTTTTCTACAACGGTTTTCTACAACGGCGCTATCGGGTCGATCCCTCAGCCGCCACAACATCCTTGAGACGATCGAGCTGACGCCGTTGCCTGCCGCAGGTGACAGCGCCAAGGGCCCCCAGCGTCTCAGCAGCCCGCCAGCCCCTAAGAGCAGCCCCTGTACAAATTACTCTGGACGCTGTACGGCCGATGGAGGCTACCTTAGTACCTGTACTGCTCATTTCCCCAGGCGACTTTTTATTACTCGGCAATACCCTACGAACTCGCCGGGACCCGGCAGGCAAAATCTCACTGCCCCTCCCAACCAAACCTCAAACAACTCCAAGGAGCCACAGTTAGCCTTACTCGCTCGTCCGGCAATCATACATCGTTAGCACGCTTGTCTGGGAGGCACGAGGGAAACATCCGCCGACGTGCAATCGTCGTCAAGGCGTCCGTCCCGTCCGTGATGGACCCCAGCGTCAATGCCTCCTCCTACGCCAGTTCAGCCTTGGGGTCCACGGCCGCCTCGTCCGTTGCGTCCACATCGCCAACCGCCCATGTCGCCGCCAGTCCATCAACATCATCCACTGCCGCCCCTACCCAGACCGAAAAACCCATCATCAAGCGGAGAGCCGCCATCGCTTGCCGCGCGTGAGTTCACCTGTCCAAATCCCACCGGCTTAGGGTTCATAGCTCGTTGGGCTCTTGTGTTGGGCGCTAACCGCTTTGCTCACGCGCCTGCAGTTGCCGTCGCCTGAGGAGGAAATGCCTTCATGACAGAGGGAAACCGCCGTGCAAGTCATGTCGAGAAACGGGCCCGGAAGCCGCCCTGGAGTGGTAAGTCGCATTGGTGTGCGGATATCCCACTGACGTGCACATACCATGAAGGATAACAGATGCTGATATAACCCCACCACCCACAGCGAGTTTCCATCTCGTGGCCAGCCTGACCTTGACCGCGACTATCGCCACCCTCGTACGAGAGCTGAACGGCCCAAGGGCGCCGCTGCCAAAGCCAAACGCGCAGAAGACCCTCCTGCTGACTCGTGGGAGGGTTTGCCTCCGCTAGACGAGCTGGTAGATGGCGTTAATCGTTTCACCCGCTTCTACTTCCAGCTTGGCTTTCTTCCCAAGAGACAATATCCCGAAAAGCTGCGCATGAGCCCTCACTCGTGTAATTTGTTTCTGTTGCTCAGTATCTTGAGCGTCTCGGCTCGCATGACCCCAGCGTTGTGCAACAGGTACGGCACTGGCGTCAAAGCGGCCGAATTCTTCATGGAACGTGCCTCTCGCATAGCGCTGGAACAGGTATATGCCGAGCCTTCGCTTGAGCTGTGTCAGGCCTTTTACCTGCTCAGCATTGCCCAGCACGGGAGCGGCTTGAGAAACAAGAGCTATGTAAGACGTGCCAACACGCAATTGATTGATGTGGAATACTGACATGGCACAGATGAACATGGGCGTTGCTGTCCGCATGGCTACTCTCATGATGCTGCATCGAGAAGAGACATACAAGCTTAATAATCCCACTCGAGAAGCAATCATGGTAGCCGAGTCAGCCCGTCGAACAATCTGGATGCTTCACAGCCAGGACAATCTGCACTCTGGCCCCGTCTCGCCAGTCGCTCTGTCCGCTTCCGACATTACCACCCTCCTCCCGTGTGACGAAGACGACTTTGCCAATGGTGTTCTACCGGCGTCTCGCGCTGCCTTGGCCGGAACTCTACCCGCCAGGGACAACCCCGCGCTCATCTCCGACAGAAACCGATCTCTCTTTGCTACTCTTATGCAGATACACAATATCTGGGGAACCGTCGGCCGACGGGCTGTCTATGATAGCCGCAGTTTGAATCCGTGGGACTCTAACAGTGAGTTTTCCAAGATGGCCAAGGTATTGAACGATTGGGAAGCCTCTCTCCCGCCCAACCATTTATTTAGCCACGAGCTGCTACGACGATACAAAAATGTGGGTGAAGACTTGGCCTACCTCTGCGTCACTATGATGACAAGACTGTGCAACATTGTGCTTCGTCGTCCCTATCTTGTGGACTTGATCCAGTGCAAAGAAACGCGGCAGCAGGCATTCTTTGCGAACTTGTCTCTAGACTTATTTCGCAATGTTCGCTGGCTCTACCAACAAATCGAAGCCCAATTCACAGACCGCACACCCGACGAAAGTGTTGGCGCGCAAATCGCGTCTTTTTGCGTCTATAGCTGTGGTCTTTTCTCGACCTACCTTTGCAAATACCCAGAAATTTGCCCGGATGCTTCTATAGCAGAAAAGGGGCCCGCGATGCTGAAAAGGACGATTAATATTCTCAATGAAAGCAAAGAAGTTTGGCCCCTAGCATCTCGCTGGGCGGAGTCGTTGGAAAACTTCTCCCGCAATCCCAAGGCGACGCTCCTCACCACTGAAGGGAGCATGGACGACGGCAAAGACCCTATCCCGCGAGCCATCCACACTTTGCCGCCACCCATTTCAAAGTCTGCCGAATCTGTCGCTGCTGTTGCGGCCATGCCAGACAGAGCACTTCCTCTCCCAGGCACGCATTTAAGATCCGCATCACCTTTGACGATGGGCGCACCGCGCAATGACCGTGTTCAAAGCCCGCTCGTCCCAACCGCCGTCCACGGACAACCACCAGCCAACGCTCACTACGCAGCGCAGATGAATCCGCCACATGCATCACCGGTACAACAACACCAACCACCGCAAAGCCGCTCCTACCTCAGCCAATACCAGACGAGCCAGCCACCGCAACCTCGTTCAGAGGTGCATCCTGTCTCGCTACAATTTGGCAACCACCACCACCAGAGTTCGGCACCGGTCCTGCGACCTGTGCCGAGTCCAACGAACAACAACAACAACCCCGTACAAACAGCCCACACACTAGCCAACGCCGCCGATATGGCTCAACGCTGGCCAATGGCAAGTGTCCTTGGATCGTCTCCTATTCCCAACAACCTCAACCGACGACAGCAGCAGCCGGATGCCGTGGGCATGCTCATTCCAGGCTATACCAACTTGCCTCTACATCAACAGCATCAACAGCATCAACAGCATCAACAGCAGCACGGGTACCTGGCTAACAGCCTCATGATGGACCAGGACCTCTCTGGCCTCCCCTCGCAGCAGTCCTTGCTTCTGGATGGCTTTGAGAATGAGTTGCTCTTTCAGTTTGACGGCGAGCACGATCCGCACATGAGCTTGCCATTTGATCAATGGCAGCCTACTAACATTTACACGTACACGCCGTACGAACATTTAATGGATACTACCTCGTAGGCGCGAGAGAGCCCGACGTTTTTCTTTTTAATCAATGGATAGCTGTTTGGAAAAAATGGAAGACGCCCTGGCAACATCCCGGTCTCGTTACGAATTTTACTCTCTTTTTTTTTTAACTTGTTTTAGCATGTGGGCGAGGAGTCGGGGTGTCAGTTTGCCTCTCTTTTTTTTATTTTACGTGTATACAGCGTTGCTACATACACACTTTACTTTACGTACATGAACGAGGACATATATACTCATCTAGAGTAGCATAATGCGACAAGAGTTTGTCTGAATTCCAAGAATAAATCACGCATTTCTCACATTCAGTGACATGTGGCGACTCACATCAACGCATGTGAATGAATGACATCATCACCACGTGTGAAAGAGCACGCCAAGTCTGGCTTGCTGATTCACGGCACACATTCCTCTACGGCCTTAGATTCATTCACAAGTCGTAAGGGGAAAAAAATTAAAGGCGACAATGAGATTCACTTGATTCTCTTAGTCTAAAAACATCTGTTGTTGTTTTCTTGTCGTGGTGCTCGTTGTCTTGGCACTCCTCGCTCGCCTGATTATTGTCGTCCTGATGTCGTCCAGAAGAGCAAAGACAACGCCCCAAAACGAGACAGAGACTTTGTAATCCTCCTTCTTAGTGGCAGGGCCGCGACTTGCCTGCCACCATCAACAACACCCAAGTCAAAAATAGGCGACAAGATAAAAGGGGGTGAGATATGGCATAAAAGTTTGACAAGCAAAGAGTCTCTTCTCAATCAACAACCAGAATTAAAATGAAAAGATGAAGGGGGCGCGGGGAGGGGGGGGGGGGGAGGGGGGGAACACAATACGGAAAAACTGACCAGCCACCAGTACTCCCGTAAAAAAACTGTTTGATATCCTTCTCTACATGACTTTTGAAATTGGCTGCCCGGGCAAAAGACATTCCGCGGGCAGACATACATGAACCATCTCTATTCCATCGAAAATGCGGCAGCTGTTGCACTCGAAAACATTGATAAATAATAAATAAAAATGGGGACGTAGTTTGGCAAGGGGTGAAATGGGAAAAATTGGGTTGTATTTTGGGGTGAACAAAGAATAGTGATTCTAATGACGTGATATGTAATGAGATAAGGTGGGTGATGCGTCGTGATAGGGGTATTGCTTCAAGGATGATGTGTCAAGGGATCTATATACACGTGAAAGGCGTGGCGATCGTGGGCTATGCAGTGATGTGAAATGGGGGAAGGGGTTGGCGTGGGTTGCGCATCTGAGTGCGATTGAGGTAGCGAATTAAGCGGTCATGACATTCTGACCAATAGCAAGCTGGCGCTTTACTTGCTCACGAGCCCAGCGAGCTGTCTCGATCGTGCGAGGAGAAAAGTCCCGGTTCGTCTTGGTCTCCTTGATCATGGTGGTGAGCCAGGGCTGACGGAAAGCTTCGACCAGTTCGCCATTGGGGTAGGCGTCCGCGAGATCACTGTAGTTGTTAGCTTCTGGCGAGAATAGAATACGGGACAGTACATACCCAATAACACCCATGCACGAGCGTAGCAGACCTTCGCTCTTGGTAGAGTCACTAGCAATCACGGCAAGAAGCTGAAAGATGGTAGGCACATATTGCTGGAGGGTTTGAGCTACAGAAGGTTAGCATGCTGGCTGAGATGTCTCGAGGATCTCGGCTTACTCTTGTTGCTCGACTTCATGGCGCCAATGATGCCGCCCCAAGCATCGGTGATGCCCTCGCGGAGAGAAATGACATAGTCAAACATCTCGTAAGGGCCGTCGGGAGCAGCCGTGACGGTAGCAGCTTGCTCGAGGACCTGGGCGACTACAGACAGGTAGGTCTCGAAGTGACCAGTAATGGCGGCAGCAATATCGCCAAAGCATTGGAGAATGGCGGGCTTGAACTGGTTTCCGAGGGTTTGGCTCTGTTGCACGGTCAGTATGTCAAATATTAATGATGAAGCCGGATTACATACTCTCAAGTTGTTGAGGAGATAGTTCATGAAGTTGTCGCAGAATGGTTGGCTCTGTTCGCCCAAGGATCGAGTAATGTCGCTCACCAGGCCGATAGCCATGGAGCAGAGACTTGCCTCTTCTTGGTTGCCAAGAGCGTTGTAGAGGAAGGGAGCGAAAGCTTCCATGTACTTAACGAAGTCCTCCTCGATGGCAGTGGAGAGCGCGCTGATGACAGCAAAGACGGCTTCAGGGACACTGGACTTGGCGCCGACGGTGCTGAGAATCTGCAATACAGCTTGCATGATGCGATCGCCCTGAGGAGCGATTTCCTTCTCCAGGCGGGCCACAATAGCCTGCAGAACAGTGCAGAGGCTGTTTTGCATCTCCTCCAGAGTAATCTTGTCCTCGACACTGACAACCTGCTGTTGCAAGGGAACAGTCTCCTCCAGACGCTTGATGATAACGTCAGAGAGCGAAGCAATGGACTGCATACTGTCGGTGGCTGAGTTTTGGACGAACACGTTAAGGACTTCGTAAGCGGCGGTGCGCACAGACGTATCGGCATCGGTGCGGGCGGTCAAGTCAAGGAGCGAGCTGACGGCGTTGTTGAAGTGAGGAGTAATGGGGTTGGCAGAAACACCAAAGTCACCAGCGAAACGCTCAGCCAGATTCATGAGAGCCCAGCAGCAAGAGGGAGCCATTTTGGCGCTGCTGAGAAGACCCTTGAACAGAGACTCGATGAGAGTGGGCAGATGTTGCTGGGGGTCAATCGCGTCCGAGCAGGCTTCGGTAACACGGCCCAAAGCGTATGCAGTCGAGTCTCGGACCTGCAGGGACTGGTCATCCATCATTGTGATGAGGATAGGCAGGGCCTGCTTCACAATGGGGTCAAGGACCTTCTCATCGGGACCTTCCATGATGGCACCAAAGGCGGAGACGGCGGCATCACGATGATGCCAGTCTTCGGCGCGGAGGTTCGTCTCAACAAACTGCAGAACAGGAGCGATGATGGTGGCGCCGACAGCCTGGGCGTAGAGTTGCAGACACTGGTAAGCGGCCCTGGACAGGTTGTATTCATCGTCGGTGGCGTCCTCATCTTGTTTGGTCAAGAGCTGGAGAAGGACAGGGATGACCTCGGGAGCGGCAACGCGGGCAAAGTTGTAAAAGGGACGAGCCTGGTCGGAGCTCTCGGCCTGGGCGTTGTCATCCTCAATGGATATCTCCTCCTCGCAGACAGTGCTCCAGAATTCGACAGCCAGCTTGGCAACGTCTTCATCGTCTGACTTCATACCGAGGATGGTGAGACCAAAGAGAGCCTTCTCCATGTAGAAACGCATGTTCTCATAGTAGAGGGCCATAATTCTGTTGAGACAGCCAAAGGCGCCCTGCTGGATGCGATTGTCGGTGGCCTGAGTGGCCTCGCAGACGACTTGCATTATGTAGTTTCGTTCGCCTTCATGCTTGAAGTTGTTGTGGACGAATTCGAGGGAGTCGCTCAGGGCGGTGATGGCAGCGAGTCGAACTTCCAGGTTGGCCTCCTCTTTGCGGGCACCCTGGACGACGGCGGTTAGGATGGCATTGGAGTGCTGGCCGAGGGACAGGCGGAGATCCTGATCTTGGCTCTCGCAGATGTAACCGATGGTGGTGAGGGAAGCTTGTTTTTGGTGGTCGGCGCCTTCGCTAATGTTCTTGACGAGGGCGGGCATAAGCTCGGACCATTGGTTTCGGGGTAGCTCTATGGCGGCGATGGACGAAATGACCTGAGCGGCGGCATTGCCTGCCTGGGCGTTGGATGAGGCGAGGGTCTGGAGGGTCAACTGCTTGACGCGGTTCTTGGTGTCATCGTCTGTTTGCTGGAGCCACTTGGCCTGAATCTCCTGATGGCGGGCGAAATCTCTGGTTGTGAAGGCGTTCTTGAGGGCGATACCGGCGGCGGCTCGGATGGAGCCCTGAGCCTGGTCGTTGGCGAGTTCCTGGACGAGGGTCGCGAGGTAGAGAGGCTGTTGAGAGCGGTGAGCATGTGACTGGGCAGGGGCGGCGTGCAGGGCGCGTAGAGCACTGTTGAGGGGTAGCTGGGGGACCGTTACTTACGAAGTTGCTCTCGGCAGCCTGTGTTAGCTGCTGCTCGGCCGCACTTCGCAGCGCCGCATCTGTTGCGAAGCAAACGAGTTAGAAGAAAAAAATGACGGGTTGGAGGACGCGCAGGCGCAGACCGCGCGTGATGGCGGCGACTCTGGGAGCCTGCGTTTGGACATGGAGGGGGGGACCACAACATACCAGGCGACAGCGAGTTTGCGAGCACTTGGTTAATTTCGGCGCTCGACATGGTTGCAAGAGGTGAGGAAAGTCGACATGCGGCTTCGAGAAAGTCCTCTTGTTCGGAAAATGGGCGAGGAAAGAAAGGAATGGATGAAAAAGAGGGCAAGAGGAGGAAATGAAGGAAGTAGGAAAAAAAGAGACGGGACGCCCAAAGCGGAATTGGGGGGTTGATGGTGCAGCAGGCAGGAGGCGAGGGATGGAAGCTGGGGAGACGAGGTGTCGGCTGCAAGAGGTACATGAGGAGGTAGCGTGTTTTGCGGGGGCGGACACTCAAATGTGCTTCTGACACAAGTACCGTTTCCACTCAGCACAGTAGCGAGATGCAGGGCTGTGCTGCTGAGGCACACACTAACAGGGCGCTGTGGGTTGGGTGTTTTAGGGGGTTTACAGCGCATGCACGAAGAGCGATTCAGGTACGAGGCATTCAGGAGGTATTAGGGGATAGTTTTCCTTCTTGAATGAATCAGTTGACTCTCCGTTTGTCCAACAGTTGCCGTCCTGTAGATTCCTGTGCAGTCCCCTCCTATTCCTCACAGAGGCCAATCGAACGGTGAAAAATTGTAACTACGGTCTGGCCCCCAGACCGTTGCGGATGGGGCGTCGCGGCGGTAACGTCGGCAGCCAGGGAGCACCACAGGCTAACTATACCTGATCAACAGAACCGGTGGAAATGAAAGTGCTGATACATGAGCAAAAGAAGAAAACCTACTACGTAACTAGGCTATCACGCGACTCTTTAATTTTCAAGCCAGCTGTTGATGTTAGATGAGGCGGGCAGTGATAGGCAAAAGGCGACGTAATTCCACAGCCTTCGATAGGCTGTCAAGGCGGCACCGTCGCTGCCTTATTCGTACCAGCCAGTAGCTGGCAGAGGGACCCTCCTTTTTGCCCTCCAAACAAAACATGCCAACGCTGCAAGCAAGCCTTGCCAGGGCCATTCGCTGTCCCGAAGCCACTTGACCACGCGACGCCCTCCCGATTTGCCCTGCACGGCTATTTGCAGATGCCCGAGATCTACGATGCGCCTTGTCCAAGTTCCTCAATCGATCCCTCGGCCGAAAGGAACACCGTTCAACTTTTATCCTCGTCCCTTGTTTTTTTTTGTTCAACTCTGGAAATTGCAATGTCAACAACAAGGAGGGGCACAGCGGGACCTCTCCGGGCAACCGAGCCACGCGCGGCCTGTCAGACAAAAGTCCTCTTCAGTTTCGCGCACTGTATGGTTGCCGCTGTGTTCAGTGACGAGCTGGACAGATGGCACCGTACAGTTGTGCAAAGTGTGAGTGGACAGAAGCCTGACAGCCCAGTGGGACAATAATACCAGAAAAGTGCGCGGCACGGCTCCCACTGTGCGCCACAGAGGAGCACAGTGTAACACAGTGCAGAAGCATCCCAAGCAACGCACAATACTTGCATTAATAAACGTGCGTGCACTAGCCCATCGTGCACCATCATCAGCCTTGTGCTGGTGCACATCTGCACAAGTCTATTTATACCAGCCTCACCTATTTTACCCACTTCACTAATAACGGCAGCTTCTCGTATGTACAAACAGACTCGCCATTTGGCATTTCCATTCTCATAACTGCCACCTCTCCTAGTTACATTTGAACTCATAGATACTCCTGCCTACAATATCGGCCACTGTGAAGCTGCGAGACGACTCCCTATCGCCTACCGCGCCTCAGGCGATCGGGGCGGTGAATACGGAGGGGGCGGATTGCCGTGCGCTTCCAAGAGAAGTTGTTGACTGCTTCGCGATTGCTCCCGCTGGAATTCCACTCCTGGCCATTGCTCCCACTCCTCTTCCTGCTCCTCTGTCGTGCTTGATCCCAATAACCTGATGTTGCTTTCTGGCCGGTGTGGCTCAGAATCGTTTCGCCGATCGCTGCGCTGTCTCCGTACCCAGATCGATGTAGATTGTTGTTCACCAGGTCGCCGTACTTCCTGATAGTGCCACTCCTGGTCGTCGCGCCAAACATCCCGCCGTTCTTGCGCCTGCCATCTCGCCCACGCCGCACCCGACCTCATCTCCGGCCTTCCCTCCAGCGACCTCCACAGCAGCTCCGCCTCTTCCGCTCCCAAAATCCCTTTGCCTCGGCACCACTCGTTGCGAGGCGCGGACGGGTCCCGGTTCCACCAGATGCAGCGTCCGTCCTGATCTTCCGCGCGGACCCAGGTCCCGGAACAAATGCACCCGAAGCACGGCGTCTGCGTCTCCTCGCATCCGACGACTTCGAGTCGGGGCCGGCGGCAAGCGCCCCGGCAATCGTCGCCGTAGCGATGCCTTTCCATTATTCTTTCAATGATGGCACCGCACGCAAGCCGGTTGAGGCAAACCAGATCCAGGCACATGGCTTTTAGTAAACAGCCAACAACGTAGGTGCTTAGCAAGTATTCACCGTGGCCTCTGAAGGATAGGTGTTGAAATATGCTGCTCGCTGTTGTACAACACAGCTACCTCGGCCGCTGTGATGCTTTCTCTATGCGAGGATGACGGATAGAAATTGTGGCTGCCAGGCCAGAGGAGAGATTTGGGTTGATGGAATATTATAGTTCTTTAGTCTATTCATATAGATGAGACCGGCGCATAACCAGGATACTGAGTGGCAACCGCAACAGTGGCACAACAGCTGACGTGAGGCTCCCGTGACTGCCCGACGCCCAGTATTACCTTGGCCAAGCACACAACTCTATGATTCTTTTTGTCATCAACCAGGAGCCACGGTGTTCAGGCAGTGGTTGGGCGGCGGCCGCTACTTTTTAGGGACCCTGACAGCCAACCGGAAGCGTTCTCAAGGCTGCGATTCGCTTGTGTCACGGTGGACCCTAGGCCTCCAAAACAATGGCCTTGTTCTAGACCAACTCCAAATATTACGCTCGACAAAGACTCAAAAGCTGCCTTAGGGGTCGCGTGTCCCTCCCGAGGCAAGTAAGCCGGAGGAATTAAAGAGAGGATCTCCTCCTTGCGAAAAAAGAACCGACTCCATTTGTGTAGAGTAGAGCCAGGAGAGTCGTCCTGAATGGAGAGTGAATCCTAAATCCGAACTGTATATACACAGCTTATGGGCCCAGGGACATTGCACAAGCCGCGCCGGCTAGGTTGCGAAGCGGGCTGCAGTATGCATTGTGTCCTCCGGCCGCGCCTCAGTATCACTGCAGCCCCGTAAGTGAGGCTTGCTTTCCGCTCTCTCACAAAGAGTAGAGTCTGTGTAAAAGCATGCAAGAGCTAAAGTAAACACCACAAGCATGTAAGACAAGCATGGAAGCGGCACCGGTGCCGGGTCAGAACAAGTGATCCTCGCCTGGTTTCTCAGCACCCCTCCCTCGAGTGCGGCGACATACGAATGTTTACGGTTAATCTCGTGATAGAACGTTATATTTTCTAAAGGGTAAGGGTGTGGTAATGGGTGTCCCAGTTTGAAGTCGGCCTGTTGCGGTGCGGCGGATTCTTTCGATTGTACTCGCTTGCTCTACCCCCAGCCTAAAAATGCCGGGACGGGACAAACCGCTGCTTCTGCGGCCAAAACTCTCGGAAATGGACGGTTTTATATGCCTGGTGAAAATCTGCCGTCTCAATACTCCCTACTAAGCTACAGTAGTACCAGACTTTGCAGCGCCCGAGTCGCTTCTAGTGACATCTACTACCGGGGTGGGTCAATTACACGCGAGAAAGCTTTGGCGATAGTTATATTGCCGGTAATTATATTGCCGAAGTGTATACCCTGGATATCTGCGCCTCACCCAGTGCCAGCGACCTGCTTGTCGGCGATGTCAAGCTGGGATGCGCTTCAGCCGCTGGCTTCCGTCAGCCAAAGCGGACAACATGCCCAAAAGCACCCCCCTTATAGTAGAAAGAAGCGTATCTTGTGAGAAAATAGAAGCCAAACTATCTTTACCACTCAATAATTAATATATTTCTGTCCTTTTGTTGCTTGGTCTTAAATCGCCTCTCCGGGCCAGTGTCGGCTGCGCTCTCATAGATGTACTGGAGGATCAAAAAGGGCAAAAGTCCTCAAATAAAACAAGGAAAACTGGGTAAGAAAAACTAAAAGTATAGAATATTAGTTGAACCCTCTTTGGGGTGGTGTATCTATGTATTGTAAATGTGTAGTGTTTCACAAGGCCAACGTCCTTGGAGGCGCCGAGGTCCACGATACCATACGAGGTAGAAAGTTCGAAACCGACACCCGTACCTGTAATTCAAGCAGAATTGAGAGTTAATCTACTGGATCTTTTGAAATGCAAAGACTCGCTTGCGTAGCGAATGGTCGCTTGACCTGCCAGTTCGCTCGTCGACCGGTAATGCGCTGCCGGCGATGGCACTTGCCACGACAGTACCTCCTGCAATGACTTCACAGACCTGGCTGTTCCTGCTTCGAAGACGACCATCCAAAACTCGCTTGAATAGCGAATGGTCGCTTGACCTGCCAGTTCGCTCGTCGACCGGTAATGCGCTGCCGGCGATGGCACTTGCCACGACAGTACCTCCAGCAATGACTTCACAAACCTGGCTGTTCCTGCTTCAAAGACGGCCATCCATGCCTATTTAACCCCATTCGACGTTCTGCATTCCATCACAAATCCTACAACTCCCATCAGCTCGCCCTCTCGCCACTCCATCGTCTACCATTCGGCTTCTGTTCTCATGGCATCCGCAGCCACTTATACTGTACCCAGGCTGCCATCCCTCGTTATTGTCCTTTTTTCCTCGACGCTTTTGTTCTCAGAGCAGATTCGACTTTGACCTCGACTCGAAGGCATCCTTCTGTCTGGTCGCGACTCGAAGACATTATTATGTCTGACCTCGACTCCGAGGCCATCCCTCGGCCTCGCTGGCCGGATTCATCACTGAACAATAAAGGTAGGCCTTTGTAATGATACCTCTTTTTCCCATGATGAGATACTTTGCGGTAGTCCGCGGCTGTGCCCGGGCGATGATCCAATAAAAGTTTGATCTGAGGAATAACGTGGAGCAGAGTCGGGAGTTTTTCTAGTTTTCTATCCCTGCCTACCAGCCCCTCGGCTGACAATCAGAAAATTTTATTATTTTTTAGGTTCGACTTTCTCGGAGCACATGACGAATGGGCGACGCTACCGAAAGTGAACTACACACACTAAACAACATACTTTGGCCTGGTGGAGGATTGGGTAGGGACGGGGTTGATGGTAGCTTGGATAATGGATGGCCTTCTGAGATGGCCACGGGGCTGGCGGCTACTAGTGGTTGAATGCGCGCAAATATAAAAAAAATAATATTCTAATACTTGACAACTCATAATTCAATTACTCAAAGTTTTTGTAACCAATATTTGACAATGGCCACACATGACGTGGCAGACAGAAGACGGCGAGGGAGCTCGGCAGCACGCCACAATCTTGTCACTATAGTCCAAGGTTAACTTTTGAAATAATGGTTATACTTTTCAAGGCGGCGTAGACAGGGGACTTGCATGCTAGTTCCTATGCTCTCAGGTTCGTTTTCCAGCCCGGCACGCCTTCGGGAGGGCCACGTGCCACCTCTTTGTCCCGTCCTTTGCTATGACTTGATAAAAACGAGTCAGTTTGCAAGGCAGGCAAGGTTCATGAATGACTTCCTGATCCTGTTTCCATTTGCATAGATTGGGCGGACAGTAGGGCATTGCTTTGGCGATGGCGACAGAGCAAGGGGGGCCGATGTGGTGGTATGTCCCCTCTTCCAGATGTCCGCAGCTGGTGTATGCGTAGTGGACTTTGTTCACCTCGCACATTTTTAGTGTTGTTGGGGATTTCGGATGGTTTGGATGATGTGTTGTCTTGCTTTTGTATGTGGACATGTACAGGTAGATTAAATAGCCCTCTCAGCAAGGAAAGCCGGCGCAACGCCCTTTGTCTGTTTCGCAACAGTCACCATCTCACACGGGGGCGGCGGCAGTAAAGGCAACACAACATCTGTGAAACGAAAAAATAGGTTTTTGATAACAAGAAACAGATAGGACTGACTACCTGGCAGGGCTCCCTTCCTTCCATCTTGGCCGGGCGGTTTTGGTTTCTTATTTGGCACTGACCTGGGTGGTGAACTCGCGGTCCTCCTTGCGGCGGTACTGGAACTTGCCGGCGACGTCAATGTACTCGATCCAGTCGTCGGTGGCCCAGCACGCGGGGCAGGGCTCGGGGCGCTTCCGCGGCGGGCTGGCGTCGGCGCCGGGCTTCTTCCACACGTCGTCGCACGTGTCCTGGCCGAAGAAGCGCTTCGCCCGCTCGCACCGCACGTGGTAGCAGGTCGGCGGCGCGCGGTGCTGGCACTTGTACACGGAGAATTCGGGGACTCGCTCGCACATGCTGGGTAAATGTGCTTGGGGGGAAGGGCGCGTGGGTATGGCGTGGAGGAAAGAAGAAGGGGGGGGGGTCTGTAGGGGTCTCGTCGTGACTGTTCTTGGTGGAAGAAGGGGGAGGGCGGGAGGCGGCCGGGCGCGGTATTTATATAGAGAGCGCCATGGATCGTGGGACGCGAGCGAGGGGAGGCAGAGACACGGAGGAGGGAGTGCACAGTTTCGTATTATTGCATTTTCTTCGGGGCGGTTGAGTGGTTGTGTGCCACGGGGAGTGCCTCAAACAGTCGGTGGTAGTACATGAGGGTGACGAGAGAGGCACCAGTCCGGAAAGAGAAGAATAGACCTAGATTATTGGACACAAGAATGCGGTTGAAGACGGGATAGGTTGTTTGTGCGCTTTTTTTATTTATATTTTCCATGTATATTCTTCGTCTGGCGCCAAATGGGTGAGAATGTGCGCCGTCTTGAGGAGACACAACGTGTTTGCTCAAGGCAGCCAGTAGGACAAGACTTGTTGGGTATTTATGAAGTTATGCAAAATGGCAATCAGTGGCATCGCAGCTCTCACCCCTAATAAATATCTGCCCCGAAATAGATTCCGCGTCCCGCATTCATCTTCCGCAGGAACGAGCCTAGCCCAGCGTCAGCAACAACCCGTCCACGACCTCACAACCACTCGACTTACTGCCTTTCATCTCCTTGCTCGCCTCCTCTGCCCTGTCAGCCGCCTCCTGCCAGATACTGCAGCACCACAGCGCGACCAGGGCATCGACCTCTTTGCGGCGCAAGCTCTTCATCAGGATCAGCCTGCGCTGGTCGTCCGCCGCGTCCTCAATCGCGAGCGTCTCGTCGCTGCCGTCCCCGGCGACCCAGCGCGCGCGACCGCCGCTCCGCGTCAGCGCAAACACGGGCGGCGCGTCCTCGGCGAACCGCGCGCGACTCGTCGTCAGGAGCACGGGCAGGGCGCGCAAGCCGCCGCCGCTGCCGTGCCGCGCCAGCCCGACGTGGCCGAGCGCGCGCCGCGGCGACTGCGCGTGGATGTAGTACGCGGGCGGCGCGTCCGCGCGCGCGAAGCCGATGCGCGGCAGCTTGGGGCTGTGCCGCAGGTCGTACAGGTGTCGCGGGCGCGGCCGCTGCGAGCTGCTGGTGCTGTCGAGGCGCTCAAACGTGACTTTTTCTGTCGCTGGGGTCAGCGTCGCGACGGCGCGCGAGAGCTGGTATGCCGCGGGGGAGCGGCTCGTCTCGGCGTGCACGCACTGCCCGGCGAGGAGGAAGATGGTCGGCTCGACGAGAGGGTCGGCGTCGGCGGAGGGCGGGGGAGGCCGGTCGGTTGCGGTGTAGGGCGGGGCGGCGTAGGGCGGCGGCGGGACGTCGTTGTCGTGGTCGTCGGGTAGCGGCTGGTCGGTGGCTTTTTTCATCATGGCGGTCGTTGAGGTTTTTGGATCGGACCGTTGGTGTGGTGGAAGCGGCGCCGAGGATGTAGTCGGACTATTTAAGCTTCGGCCGATAGGTGCTGTCGTCATATCATGGCGCTAATAGACTTGCCAAGATCGCGCAGTGTGTGGGGCAACAAGGCTTAGCAGGAGGGTCTAGCAACTAACTTATTATAAGCTACGGGGCGGGCAAAGACAAATACAGGGATGAATCGCCTGAATAGGGAATTTCAAGTCATGTATGGAACAAGGCACTTTTGAGGAGCCACTTGGTCTGTAATTCATACTCTTCGGGCGTTGGGGCGGGATTGCATAACGGGGCTTAGACGGTGGCTGACGCGGGTCATAAACACCGACAGCAAGGAATAAAAACGGCCGACTAGAGAATCGACGGGGCTCTTGGCTTGCAGCTCCAGACGCCAGACTGGTCCACGCTCCAGTCGTAGCGGCTGACGCACGGCGTGCACGGAAAAGGATACGCCTTGTCGCTGACGCAGACGCGCTGCCGTATCGTGCCGCAGCCGTTGCAGTCGGCGGGCAGGCTCTGCGTCGATTCGAGCTCGTGCTCGGTGCAGCCGCACGCAAACTTGAAGAGTTCTTTGCACATGTTTTTTTGTTGCTACAAACTGGTCAAGATGTCTTGGTTAGCGCATGTGGCTGGAGTTGTTCGTTGTAGATACGTACGCCAGGGCTGATGACTATGACGGCTGGAGAAAAACAGCGAAGTAATAAGGAATGATGATGCTAGCGAAAAAAAAAAAACAAGACCAATTCTCGTCGCGTGTTGAAGGACATTGATATACCTTTTCTTTTCGTTTTTTATTGGTCAATTTGTTTCAATTACAATCATCAAGGTAGCGCCGATGCGGGAAGGTCGCCCGCGGGCGGGTAGATGCGCCGCGGCATCCTGCAGAGCATCTGTACGCGCCGTTCGCCAAGCTTGCAGACCTATGAATGGTGACAATAATATAGACCGTGTTGCACGGTGTGACAGCCCGTGGTTGGCGCTTGAGCTCCCTTTGTGAGACGGCTAGGGGGTGGGCGTTTGGGTACATGATGTTGTGCTACTCCTCTGCATAGAGAAAAAAAAGGTTTTTTTTTGCCTTTTACCGTATTCTACAGGAGGTCTGCGGAAAATCATGCCTGTAGACAATAATCGAACCAACAGGTCAGCTACGTGTTTCGCTGGCAAGAAGCCGAGTAAAAAGGTCGAAAATCGATTAAAGAAATTCCGGCTCAACGCAGATTTTCTCAAATAAAAATAAATAAAGATCAGTGGTATACATATACTTCAGAAAAACAAGTCTATCCACCTGAGCTATCCGTAACACACCACACCGTGGCCTGTCCAGGGTAAGGCCATCACCACCAACAACCAACAACCCCCACCTATGGCACTTGCGTGCGTCCTACATCATCCTCAAACGCCCCCACACGATTCCTTGCCAATATCCAAATTACAAATCTCCTATACATTTTGGTTATGCCATACCGTACAATAACCCCCGGGAGCAAAAGACGACGAAGCTACTGTTAGCATCGCTCCCGACACGCCTCTACCCCAACGTCCTCTCAGCTGGCTTTCCCCGTCACCACAGAGAACTGCCCTCCCGCGCCCGCCCAGGTCAGCATCTGGCCACTGACCTGCTTCCCCTCAATCTTCTGCGGCGTGTGCGCATCCTCATCCGAGCCGAGGCCCAGCTGGCCCTCAGAGCCGAACCCCGTCGCGTACACGTCGCCGCTCCTCGCCACAAACAGCGTGTGGTCCGTCCCGCACGCGACGCGCGCCACCGGCTCGCCCAGCGGCACCGCCGTCGGCACG